CGGCCCTTTGAATAGGACACCTCAAAGACGGTTTTTTCTCTATAACTTTAAAATCCTTCACAACAAATTTTTAAAAATTGGTGTACGGCATAAACATTCGATGGTAAATAGGACTCCGTATTCGAAATTTCAGAATTTCATTCAGGGGCGTCACATGCGGGAGAGGGTAAGTGTAAAAATATCCCTTCTTCTCCGGATATTCAGGTTACTGTGATTTTGTTTGGAAATTATTTCGAATACGGAGTCCTATTTACCATCGAATGTTTATGCCGTACACCAATTTTTAAAAATTTGTTGTGAAGGATTTTAAAGTTATAGAGAAAAAACCGTCTTTGAGGTGTCCTATTCAAAGGGCCGTAGCTCCCTTAGGAAGCATTTTCGGATCCTTATCAATAGGAACTTTTTGCCTTATTTTCATGCAAGGAATACGCCTCTGAAAGGATGCCGCTTACTTTTGAATCACCCTGTATATAATTAATAATTGATCTCATTCAAATTGACACAATGAAATTTTGAGTTGTCTTGTCTATTGCCTGTAGTTTTGACATGACTGTAAAAAAATGTGTACTTATAACTTTTTTTTTCATCACCATTGATGTTGAATAAGAATGCCGTTTTGATAATGATTAACTGAGCAAACCTTTAAACACCGTGTGGCGTGTATTAAAGTCACCAATATAATTGCCCATGAATATTCAAAATGAACCCAAGACGATTATTACAACGTTATATTCAATTTGGAATCTTTTTCGACGCTGCAAATTAGATGTCTCATGTCTCGATAATAATTGATCTCATTCAAATCAACACCGCGGGGCATCTTGAGTTCTCTTGGTTACTCAAATATTAGATGGACTAGGATTCAGAGGAACAACATATGATTTATAAAGAAACTACCTCAGCAACAGAGAACAATACGTGAAAGTAAGTGATGTAATGAGTGACAAAAAACTATTACGTATGGTGTCCCACAAGGAACTGTCCTGGGCCCTTTACTTCTCAATATATATCTGAATTACCGTCATAAATCACTTTTAGAGGGAGATGTTATCAGCTTCGGGACAAAGTGCAATCATTTATAAATCAGATTCAATAAAAACACTCAAAAGATCCTCAGAAATGGACTTCAAAATAATCATGGAATGGTTTGATAGTCGTTTGCTCACCATCAATGTGGATAAAACCATATACGTTTCATTCACTTCATACAGCAAGTATTCACCAACATTTGATAGCCTGAGCATATCTACTAGCGTAGGCTCAGTATAAGCATAGGCTTATGCTTAGAACTAAAACTAGTATGTAACAGTCCTAATGATATAACAAGTTCCTCTAATCTTCGTTTAAGATGATTTGTTTACTCTTGATTCATACCTATACTCACTATACCATGCAATGTCCTCTTCACTGCAGTAGATGGACCATACTTGAAGTACCTGTAGATGACCATGAAAATAACAGGTATCTTGAAAACAGGTACCTTCTATTATGGTCATGGGTGGCACGCTATCATGAATCAAAACTAACAACATAGATGGTGTTCAAGGCTGACGTATAAAGAATATGCTTATTTTCTTATTTCGTATTCCTGGATGGCAACTAAAAGAAATGACAAAAAAAAACAACATTTGAGGAAGTTCCGAGGGAAGTTCCAAGTATCGAGATTGAATGATTGAATAATTGAAATGAGATAAATTATTATGTACTGAGAAGGAATTTTCCAAACCAGGGTATCCTAGTGAATTTTGAATTTGAATATCTTTTTCATTTGATAAAGTAATTCATGTTCATCCACTATAATCTGAAATCGAGATGAAAACTCTGAAAAATATAATTTGAAAATGTCAGCTATTTTTATTGGTATGGAATATTATCAGTTTCTCGGTTGTTAGCAATAGGAATGAGGGGACAGTTTTTGAAGATGAAAGATGTAGAATTTGTGAATGAAAATAGCATGATCTAGTAATAGTCTGATGAGGAATAAATAACATGAGCTGAACAATAGTATATTATTATTTTGGCGACGAGACTGTACGGACTCTGTACCCAACAATAACAACAAAAGCATGCATGGACTCACGTGGTATCAAACTGCTGGACATCAACACCATCAACACTATGATGTTGAACATAAGGCATATTATATGAAACATATTATACTGGGCTTGATGAAACAATAATATATAGCAAGATTCGAGAATCAATTTTTTGCATTGTATCACATATGGTATCACTTACTATACTGCTAGAACTGCATCAATACAATTGAGTCTGCCTTCACCTCCAGATCCATATATATTATGATACTGCAAAACATTGGAAGCGTATTTTTCTCTGAGAACATATACCTACCAACTTCGAGATTATCACTTCCAGAAATGCAAGGTAAATTCTATGCCAATTTGTTGAAATTAGGTTAGGTTCAATGTGAATGGGTCTTGAAGAGGCCCTATACACTGCTGCCTGAGACCTATACACTGCGGCCTGAGACCCATACACTGCGGCCTGAGACCTATACACTGCGGTCTGAGACCTATTGTGATTCATTTCCGAGTTTGTATTTTTCCCAATCTGCCCAATCTTTTTACAAAACTGACAAAATTGTGTTGGTGGAACATTTGATTCTGGCATTAGTGCTATGTATTGCCAAACATCGGCTGTTTCGTCATAAACCGGCACATCTTATGCTAGTCCGATTTTATGCATGTGATGATTTATCAGCTCTCATCTTGCAGATTGGCCTATGAACAAGTCAATCATGACTTCAAGTTAATAGCTTATCGTTAACCTGCTACTTCATCTGTTGCACGGAATGTATTTCTTCGAATGGCGTGGTAGGTTCCCAGCGAGCACAAACATCCCTAGGATGTTTTGGGATGTTTTGAAAATGTTGGCATGAAGATGTTATTTTGAGACGTAATATGCACTGACCAAAGAGGTCTTTGAAGGATATTGAAGTATTGGTTTTGTTCTTCTGTGGCATTTCTTTGTTTGCCTACTGAGAGGTATCCCTGGGATGTTTTGGGATGTTTTAGAAATGTTGGCATGAGGATGTTTTTTGAGGCGTAATATGCACTTCCCAAAGAGGTCTTAGAAGGATATTGAAAGTATTGTTTTTGTTCCTTTGTGCCCTTTATTTGTTTGCCCCACCACAACGTCTCATGCTTACGTCACAATACGATTTTGTTCTTCTTGTTCGCAATAGGCATTCGCGTTTGCAGCGTGTCACGCTTACATCACGCTGCTAACGAACAGAAAGGAATTTGGTGAAGTTTATTGTGTCAGAAGACTCATTTAGTTTGTAATAATGACCATCAGATGCAAGATGTGTTATTCGGTGCCTCAGTGTAATCAATATATAAAAGTACGAATTTATCGATACACAGCTTCTCCGCAGTTGCAAAATTATGCATTGTGAAGAACATTTAAAAAATTGGGAAACCTATTTCGAATTATATGTCTGTGTGTAGTAAGCACTTCTCAGAAACCGATTAAGAAGGTGATTTCATATCAAGAAAATATTTTTATGTTCAATCTATTTTTAATGCATTTTTCCATTCAAGGGAAATGGAATCCTAATGCAAAGGTTCATTTTGACAAAAGGCTTCAGAAAAGTACCTCGAAAATGTTTTTTTACAGCGATTTAATGTGCGCAAGACGCGTTGAAAAAATTCTGTTGTGTCCATGAAAAGGCTTTGAAAAGAACTAGGGAGAAGGTAGTTTTGTGACATATCGAGGACATCTCGATAATTGCCGCCTGCGGCGCACATTGGCTGTTCTATAATAGTTCTATTCATGTGTGAACAGAACTTCGCAGTGGAAGTTCAATGTCTCGAAATCTCGTACTTTTAGCAAACCGAGAGAATTTGAGAACGAACGAACGAATCTATGCTCTTGAACATGGCAGAACCATCTAAGCTTCAACAAGAGTATACTTTCAATCGAACAAAATATTGAATCATAACTTGCACAATTTGTGATGGATATCCGAAACAAAAAGACTGTATCATAGGCAGCAGTCAAGCAGATGAAACTACATGATCTGCAAGGATATGTGACACCATCAAAAATAAAAGACCACGAAAATGTCTTCCTCAAATACCTTGAACACCATTGAAATAGTATTTAGTGTTAACTCCTTTATAGGTAACCATCAACTGCTAACTGCAATTCAAAACCTTCCCATCTGCATAATATCTTCACATATCGCCAGAACACCACGATACTTTAATTTATGTTCCAAAACATATATATTGGTATTATTTGCCATTTGAACGTGTACAACAACAAAATACCTGTTGCCGAAGCCAAACACCAACATATATGGCGTTTCTCGATCGATACACAATGTTAGCATTTTGTATATTTCAGCTATATCACAATTCATAATCAAATATGTATTGCATCTCATAACTATTGTAGATATATTGTTTGTAGTTGGCTCATATTATTTACAAACACTATGAAGTATCAATTTTGATGCAATATTACAATTGAAAATTAACTGATAGTCCCATATCTAACGTTGCACTGATATTGTTCGTAGTTAGTCCATGTAATGTTGCAATTTCAATGAGTATATATAGTAGATGCAATATTGCTATTGAAACTAACTCGTAACTTACAAACAATTTGTCAGCAGGTTTTTCTGTTGAATTGTTAACACGAATATAGCAGAAAGATTTATACAATACTGCATTTTCATATTACGGAAGAAAGCTTTGCAATATAGTTCGTCGAACTAAAGGACATTTATCAAAGATGATAGATGTAAAAAGTGTGGATAAAAACATCACGATCTACCAATAGTTTGATTAAAAACATAACATAACTCATGAGGATTTTCTCATGGTTATCATCAGCTACCCACAGTTCAAGTGTGTTTCTTTGGAACGCCGCACCTGCAGCATTCTTCAAGGTATCCTTCAGAATATATGAATTCTAATGAAGTGCAAATTTCATCAGCATTATCAGGAAGATTTTCTATATCAAAACTTATATTCTTCAATGAACTTTTTTATTTAAATATAGTTTATTTACATTAAACAACTCAGATACAATAACAGTACGCATGAATGTAGGAGGAAACATGTTGCTACAGAATAAAAATACATATCTATATGTCTAATGGTTTATTTTACAAATGGCAGTGTTTATTAAAAACATTAATGAGAGCCCCAGAATGTAAAAAACAAAGAAAAAAGATTGTCACGCTGTATTTATGATTGACTAGAGGATTTAACCAAGAATTAAATTTTGCAGGAATGTCATTGTAAGATTGAGTGAGTAAATCGAACATATAAATCTTTTTAGAAATATTTAGCACCATAAATTCTTCAATTAAAAAAATATGTCTCTTTCCTTATTTAACATACAGGTAGTTATTTATTTGAAGTGTGATCAATCCTGATTCAAGATATTTGCTTTTCATACATACAACTTAATTGCTAAGTACTATACAAAAATCTTTACATAAAAAAATGTTACAAAGACATGGCACGGCAGTATTAAAAAGTTACAAAGCTAACTATACATTTTCACGTGCTGGTTGCATACCTGGTCATCCGAATCTAAATGTTATCACCATAGATGATCAAGTACCTCAAAGGAACACTTCAATTGGTTGAACACAGTGAACAGTCGATGAATCACTTACACTTACGCAAACGTGTAAGTGACACATCAAATCCGTCAACGATTTCCTAAGCAGACATGTATACCTACTGTGACGCAGTTTACGTATTCCTTATACAGACTTGGCACCTGCTGACTCTGTCTCTGACGTTGCCAGCTTTGAGGGTCTGCTTCTGCGGCTTCTGGAACTGCTGGTTGTTGTCGATGGTGGCCAGCCAGAAACTCAGAGTATTGGCGAAGAAGTGGCAGGATCCTTGGGCACCATTGCACTCGATGAATGGCGTAGCCCTGAAATCTTCCAGGCAAGATCCGGGACTGGACAGCGATTGCCCACCTCCTTCTGCTCCGGCAGAAGTGTGCTGAAAAAATAGTTCTCATTAGTTTCTCAGTTCAGATATTGATACAATAATTGTGAATTGGACACTGTGAAGGTCGAATCCCCAAATCCAATGAGAATAATCTGTGGTACCAGTCCACAGTATCTCAGAGTAGTGATTGATTGAAGATAATTGATTGAAGAAAAGGAAAACACCAAGACGTCTCCACAAAATTATTCATCAGCGATAATAATCAATCGCATATTATATTTAGAGCGTAGGCTCATATCCAGCAAGAAGTTGAAGTGACAGTTGAAGAGAAATACCTAAATGAAGAATTACATCTCAAAACTACAACTTTTCTAGTTCCATTTCAGAATTTTCATTGCATCTCAAAATAGTCACTTATTGTATTCCAGAAAACATCAATTGTATTTCAGAATAGTCAATACAATTTCAGAAAGTGTCATTTGTATTTCAGAAAATATTTTATGAAATTTAATTCACGCTTTCTGAAATTCAATTGACGCTTTCTGAAATAGAATTGACGCTTTCTGAGTTTGAATTGACTATTCTGAAATACGATTGACGCTTTCTAAAATACAAGTGACTATTCTGAAATACAATTTACACATTCTGAATTTGAATTGACTATTCTGAAATACAATTTACACATTCTGAAATTGAATTGACTATTCTGAAATACAAATAATGCTTTCTGAAATACAAGTTACTTTTCTGATATACAAGTTACTTCTCTGAAATACAAGTTACTTTTCTGAAATGCAAGTCACTTTTCTGAAATAGAATTCATGTTATCTAAAATTGAAATAGACACTTTCTGAAACACACATTCATCCTGCTTATTGTATGCTGAACTGAAAATTGAATAAAATACTATGAGTAGTCACATATTAATTTTTCTGGTTACTTCAACTTCAACCTGATTGACAATCATAGTTTTTTCGAATGATAATAAATATATTCCTACTTCCTTCTTTCCTTATCCACCCCAAACACGCACCATGTTCCACATATAATAGGGATTCCCAAAGATAAAATAAAACGTGAATCATATAAGAGAAACCATAATCGATGTTCTTCGATTATAGGAATTCTCTCTCGTATGCTCCAAGCGATAAAAAAATCAATCATAGTCCATACATTGTATTGTACATTTAGGAGGCTGTTGATCGAGTCACTAGCATTTTGTTATTGAACTCTCTAAAGGTAAGTGATAAATTCACCTACAATAATTAACGAATTGATATATTTTTCGGGCCTGAGTGTACTAATAGTTTGTTATTAGTGTAAGATGTGAGCATCTTTTGGTTCAATCGAATCTTCTCCGTCGAACACATCTTGCACGATCTTTATGGTGAATCCTTGATTAGAATATCCCACACAATAAATCATAATTGAAAATATTACTGGATCAATTATTCGTCCCAAAAAGTGAAATTTTTGACTCCTCGTATTTTGGAAAAGTGGATATTTGATAATTTGTTTGTTGATTACTCGATTTGGAATAATTAAATAACATAAACCATCTACGAATAAGAAGTTAGAGATGTTATATAATATTCAACTGCCCCATATTCAGATCATGAATCAAGAAATGAGACATAGTATCACACAATACGCGAATGAAATATGGGCAATTGACCATCAAGAGTGAAAGATTCTTACCATAAGGAAACTGTATCCAATCCACATGGAACTCCATCCGTTGGGACATTCAGGAAGCGCTAGCGACTGACTGTGAACCGCTATGACGTTAGCAGGTGCCTCACAAACAACACATCTCGAAATATAATCTTCAATTTGCGATTCTTCCACTGGCATCATCGGGATGGCCGCGCTAGTAGACAACCAGTATGACTTGTCGTTGCGACTAGCGTAATTACAGACGTTATTGACGTCGCAAAATACGAAAGGCATAGTAGAGAACTTCCTTATGCAAGAACCGGCAAAACCAAGATCCTGGGTGTGTGCCTTTTCGTTACCTTCAATGTAGAGGAGAGAATATCCCTCCCATAGCTGGATATGACCTGCCTCGCATTGTGGTACTTCCCTACTCTGACTGTGTCGGACTAGGAGGGTTCCGGTGAGGTAATCAGGGATATCGACACAAGATGCTCCAGCATCTCCTTTCGGACCAATATCTCCTACCAACCCCTGAAGACCGATCAATCCTTCGATACCTCGGTCTCCCTTCTCGCCAGGCAATCCAGGAGCTCCTGCAAAGCCAGTTAAGCCTCTATCTCCTTTATCTCCCTTCTCTCCTGGCGCTCCAGGTATTCCATCGAGACCAGGCTCACCACGACTACCAGGCAGACCATTATTACCTGGTGGCCCTCTTTCTCCCTTCAGACCAGGGAAGCCTTGAGGCGCTGCGTCTCCTTTGTCTCCTTTATCTCCTGGGATACCAGACAAACCTGCTTGCCCTGAAGGACCAGCATCACCCTTGGGCCCAAAAGGTCCAATAGGACCGGGCCTTCCTGGACTACCGTCGTAGCCTCTGTCACCTTTCTCGCCTGGGTAACCAGGTGATCCTTGTAGGCCAGTCAAACCACGATCTCCTTTTTCTCCTGGTGCTCCCATGAACCCTGGATTACCTCGGTCTCCTTTCTCTCCTCTCAAACCTGCAGCTCCTTGGAGCCCAGATCTACCTGGTGGTCCGACTGGTCCGATTGGGCCTGGTGCTCCGTCAAAGCCTCGGTCTCCTTTTGGTCCTTGGAGACCTAGAGGGCCTGGAGGTCCAGGAGGTCCTGATCGTCCTGGGAAGCCTTGTAGACCCATTTCTCCTTTTTCTCCATGCAATCCTTGCAGACCTTCTCTACCGTTTTTGCCCGGCGTTCCTGGTAGACCTTTTTCGCCCTCAACGGTTAAGCCTGGGCGACCTGCTGGTCCAATAAGTCCCCTATCACCTGGAAGAAAATGGTTTCATGAGAAGATATAGTTAGTTATCAAAACTGACAGGAACAGATCTATGAAATCTGCATTTTTTTAAATTTCTTAAAAATTATAGAATGTTCGAATCGATGGCAATGTCGAGAAAAAGACAAATGCACAAATATACCAAAAAATACCAAGGTGGACGATTAGATGCAGCAATCAGAAAGTCAAGGTATTATTCTTTATTCCATTCTAGCTCGCTTCTGATTGTATCCGACTCAATGATGAAAATAGTGAAATCGCTATTCTTTAAAGATTCAGTTTTATTGTCGACTGATACTACAATAGGGAGGAACAATCGAATACAAATTGATGCTGTGAAATAATTTGATTTTAAATTTTCATACCTTTTTTATCAATACAACTATTACCTTGTTATTGATATTTACTACATAGTCTTCCCAAAATACAATGAAATACTGAATTATGTTTTAATTCGACTCGGATGAATGTTTCACTCAATGTCAATCATGGCATATAATATCTATGAGTAGAAAATAGTTATTTTTGTATCTAGAGCGCGAAATGCTACTTTGGTGACCGAGATCTGATTTATTCAACGAGGCGTCGCCGAGTTGAAAAAATAGTCGAGATAATCAAAGTATTTCGCGCTCGAGTTGCAAACAAAATTTTTTCTACAAATGTCAAAAAATATAGTTCTATAGTAAAAATATGCTCAGCTTGATATAATAAATAGGGTTGAACTGGATTAAAAGGCCTTCCCCTATCCTCCCTAGGTACGCACGATGTTCCACGTATATAATAGGAATTCCCTTTGGTGCGCTCCAAGAGATGAAACAAAGTTATTGTTGAACATTCAGAAATAATTGATTCCGTGGATGTTTGCTCGATTGAGGGCCATAAAGATGAAATATAAATATCTCATATATTTTACATAACAATGCGCGAAGTACCTACTTCGCGCACTGTTTTACTTCGCACATTGTTTTGTGCAAGGTATCATGGTACCGTAGGGAACTGTTAAAAAGTGTCACTTCGCAATTTGTTATCAATGCGTGAACCTCGTCATTTTTTGACGTTTGTAGAAAAACCATATATCTACACGACGAGTGATCAGAACCCTATCAAGTGTATTGATAATGTTTTTCTCATGTAATTAATAATGTGGCTTCCAAAAAATGCTGCCCACAACATTGATCGAAATTGAAAAAAAACTGTTATACTTTTGACAAACCTCCTAGTTGAACAGTTTTATTCATTAAATGAGAATTTTCCGAGTAACACTCACCTTTTTCTCCTGGTATTCCTGCAAGACCAATTTCTCCTTTGACACCTGGGAAACCCACGTCTCCCTTTTCTCCAATGATTCCGATTGCTCCCTGGAATCCTCTATCTCCCTTTTCTCCCTGCCTTCCTTCAGCACCATAAGGTCCAGGTTCACCTTTGTCACCTTTAACCTGCACCAATGGTCCTGGTAAACCTCTATCTCCAAAATCTCCTTTCTCTCCAGGGAACCCAATTGGTCCAGGTGGTCCTGATAAACCTCTGTCTCCCTTCAGTCCTTCGTACCCATTGATACCAGCGAAACCTTTATCGCCCTTTTCTCCGGGATATCCTGGTGCACCGGTTGGACCAGTATCTCCACGTTCTCCAGGAATTCCATCAACTCCATCTAAGCCAGGTGGTCCAGTTTCACCAGGGAATCCTCTGTCTCCTTTAGGTCCAGGGAACCCAGCCAGGCCTTTGTCACCTTTCGAACCTGGTACTCCAGGTAGTCCATCCAAACCTTCAGGGCCTTGATCACCTTTTTCACCTGGTACTCCAGGTATGCTCCTTCCAGGTAAACCTGAATCTCCCTTGTCTCCAGACAATCCTCGCAGGCCAGGTAGCCCTTCTGCTCCTCTCAACCCTGGAATACCATGTTCTCCCTTTTGACCCTTCTCGGATGCACTTCCTGGTTCACCCTTCGCTCCAGGATTTCCAGGATAACCAGATTGACCTTTAAGACCAACTAGACCAGGAGGTCCTGGGAGTCCTGGAGGCCCAAATGGTCCCATATCTCCTTTAAGACCTTGGATCCCCTTTTCTCCTGGCATTCCAATTAGTCCTGGTGGACCTTGTAGTCCTGGGAATCCGCGTTCTCCTTTTTCACCAGGTATTCCTGACATGCCATCCATACCAGGTATGCCAGTGGCTCCTGGTCTGCCAATTACTCCTTTGAAACCTTTCAGTCCAGCTGGACCAGGGATACCGCTTTCTCCCTTCAATCCAGGGAAACCGGCCAAACCTGTTCGCCCAGTTTCTCCTCTCAGTCCCGGTTCACCCTTCGATCCTGGTGGGCCAGGTCGTCCTGGAGTGCCATCCAAACCAGCTGGGCCGACTGGACCTGCTTCACCTTTTTCGCCGGCTGGTCCGGGTAAGCCGTTTTGTCCTGGTTCACCAAAGTCTCCTTTTTCGCCCATAATACCGATCATACCGTCGTTACCTCTTGCACCTGTTTTACCGGGGAATCCACGCAAACCTTTCTCGCCTCTGAAACCAATTGGCCCAGGTGGTCCTGGGGGTCCCACAGAAGGTATACCTGCTTCTCCTTTAGTTCCCTTGGCTCCTGATATACCTGGAAAACCTGGTGAACCATCACGTCCAGGTTCCCCTAGGAATCCCATGGGACCGATATCACCTTTGTCGCCTCTGGGCCCTGGCAGACCTCTTCGTCCCACAGGACCTGGTGGGCCCTCCTGACCGGTTGGGCCCATCGGTCCTAGGTTTCCTTGTTCACCTTTGTCTCCTCTATCTCCGGGTCTGCCCGGGAAGCCTCTATCTCCTTTCTGGCCCATCACTCCTTTGTTGCCTTTCAGAGCTTCGATCAAGTTTTGTGGGCATTTTCCTGGTGGTCCAATAGGTCCTTGTAATCCATCTTTACCTCTTTCTCCTGTCTCTCCTTTGTCACCTTGTTCGCCGTCTTCTCCATAGATACTTTCTCCTTTCATACCTGTTGAGTGTTTCAGATTTATGAAAACTGTTATCACATTTGTTGAAATTTTGATGGAATGTGTATATAACAATATTATGGAGATGACTAGCTTGCTTCTTCTCTCAAATAATGTTTCATGAATATTTATTCTCATTGCTGAAATATAATCTAGCAAGCAGATCAAAATAAACATATGAGTTCAGAACTGACCCCTAAAGGGATTGTAGACATCTACGTATACATATAAGCTAGCCTCAGATGAAGGTTTTTTATGAATATTTTCTATTTCTATTCGTAAAAAAATAACCGAATTCCGTACATTTCCATAACTTTTTATAGTCAATTCAAAAATGTTGAGAATATTTTGAAATTCTGTACAGGGGCATGAGAAATTGGAGAGGCTAAATGCACTTTTTTCGCCAACTTTTTTGTTCATCCAATTTTCAGCAGTTCATCTAGGAAATATGGAAGTCTCAAAATTTACACTTGAAAATGGTACTCTGGTTCCGATGATATTCACCGATTTCGAGATGAATTTCTGGTGTGTAGCTAAATCATGATTGAATGTGAAGATTGCAAATTTCGGTTAACCTCAATTGGGTATCTACCATAATTATCGTTTTATTGAATTCTCATTTGCACCCCCGAAATTTCGAGTCAGAAAATCGGAAGTTGATGTTAAAATTGGAGGGATTTTTCAACAAAGCATAATTTTCAGAAGAAAATAGGACTTTCGAGAAAACAAAATAGGTTCTACCCTACATCAGCAAAGTTGATAAAAATACACATTATTTTTAGCTAGAATAAAATTTCGAAGTGATGTTAATTTTCTGGGAAATGTTTGAATTTTTAGCCAAAATTATGGTTCGTAGGAAAACGCCTCTTCTTTTAATATCTACCAACGATATTTTGATTCAAAATATCGGGAGTGCAAGGAACAGAATGAATTGAGAAATCATTATGGTAGGTACCCTGTACCTATAACATCCAGAGAAAAGCCATTTGTCTGGTGGATGATGCCACACTCACTAACTCTTTGACCTCATTAGAACACCGTAGAAAAGTTGGAGACCTTCCGCATTTCTATATATACATCCAAGGGAAATGTTCCCCAGAAATCTCTGCAATCATTCCATCAATAGCAATATCACTCAGACGAACTCGACAGGAGCAGTCAGCACATCCTTTCGTTGTCAACCTTGAAAAATGCCGAACAACACTTTACCAAAACTCGTTTATCTATAGAAAGGCAAACCTTAGGAATACTTTGCCGATTGAAGAATGTCTAAGAACTTATAACTTCCAGAAATTAAAAAAAATCATATACCTACCTACTCTCCCTAGGTACGCACGATATTCTTCGAACATTATAGGAATTTTCATTCGTGCGCTCCAAGAGATACGAAAAGCATTTTTATTCTTAATAATCTTTACATGCAGTCATGATTTAGAAGTTACGAATCAGAATTTAAAATCAATTTATCTCAACATTTCCTGGTCAAACTGCCGAAAATTGCGTAAATGGAAAAAAATAATGAACAAGTGTCTTCAGTTAGTACATGAACAAAAATTGGTTATTTTGTAATAAAGGGCTACAAAAAAATTCACGAAGAACCTTAATCTCGGGATCGCCTTCAGATGGCTATAGCTCCCTCAGGGTCCATTTCTGTACCTATATTCACATAAACTTTTTTAACTATATTTGTTTATAGAATCTGCAACTGAAATTTTGAAATATACTCAAATATTATCTAGTTACTAATAACGAGACCTTTGTTTCCGGGTATTCCGGGTTCTCCTGATTTTCCTTCGAGTCCGGGGAAGCCTTCGTATCCTTTTTCTCCTCTCTCTCCAGGCATTCCAGGTAGACCGGCATTTCCTTTGGGTCCGTAGGGACCCGGGAAACCCTTTGGACCGGGGCCCCCATCTCGTCCACGCAGACCTTTGTCTCCCTTTTCGGCTTTCATCAGGTTGAGCGGCACTTCGGCTGGCAATCCTGGATTACCAGGCAATCCGGGGCTTCCATCATTACCGTCTCTACCCTATGAAAAATAGTTCTTTGTGCTTCAGGCAGTCTATATCTCGATCGGAATTTGAAACTGAACAAAAATCAATTCACATTCATTGAGTCATGATGAATTTGTCTATTGTATACAGGGTGTTTCTTGAGTACGTAAAGAAAATTCAGGAGCATGTTGCTGGCGTCAAAATAAGAAGAAAAGTTCGTATAAATATATGTCCGAAAGTCATTCGTTTCTGAGATACAAAGTGTCAAAATTGAATTCTTATTTTTGTTTCTTGTTGATAAATTTCAAAATGATTGTGATATTCGAATAAAGTTTGGTATCTATTGGTATTTCCAATGACAATATCGAATTTTATGTTAGTTCGTCTCTTTCGTGGGGGTGGCGCCACCTTCATGTCTTATGAGTCTTTCGAAAAGTGCGTACCTGTATCACGTTTTAGAGTAAACGAATGGATTTCTAAAAAACTTTTGTGTAAAAAATATATTCTTGGTAGAGGTTGCTGCGAGCAACTGTTTTCGAGTTATTGGGATCTGAAATAATCGATGCATTTGATTTATTTCCATGGGGCTCGTATGTCGCCTCTAAGTAGTAAATATCAGAAAAGATACGCCATTGCATTTTTCTTCTTTCAATCATCATTCTCCTACATTCAACAATTCAAAATTGGAAAGTAGGCAAAAGATGATTCTTACTTCTTTGTACCTACCTAGTTTTTTGACCACTTTGAATAATGGGCGTGTACACCATAGTAGAACTTTTATACATGAATAATGATTGACGACATCATTCGATCGAAAAATTAACTGGAATGTTTTATTTTTGGACAAAAATAATAGTACCTTCTGAAACGCCTGACGGAGACTGGGGCAACTGATACATTAATTCATTCAACTGTGATCTCGTGCTAATTCACTCTGTCAGAAATTGTGTAGGTATCATTCATCTCTGTCTGGAATAGTCTTGTTTCAGTATTAGGGTTTTGACGTCAGATCATCGCCTCGTTTTCAGAGGTCCGAAAAATCGGGGATTTCAATAATTTTTTATAAAACGTAGGGAGCTCACAGCAAGAAATGGTTTTCGGTGGTGAGCTAGTTTGGGGGAGTTCTATCGAATTATGAAATAAATTTTTTTGTGATATAAGCCCATTACTTCAATCAATTCCCTCAAGTAACTGTTTTAGTATCAATGTTGTCTTAATTACTGTTATTATTATCAGTATCAAATCGTTATGATACCCGATGCCTATTTTGAAATGAAATTAGAGAAAAATAATTTCCCTTACTTGATTAATCAGTTCTGAATTCCAACATCTTGTCATTCCAAATTACTTGCATCGATTATTTCAAATACCAATAACTCGAAAACAGTTGCTCGCAGTGACCTCTACCAGGAATATATTTTTCAAACGAAAGTGTGCTAGAAATTCATTTTTCTACTATATAACGTGATACAGGTACGCTCAAAAGCGTATCAAAGACTCGAAAGAAATGTAGGTGGCGCCACCCCTACGAAAGAGACAAACTGATAAAAAAATTGATATTGTCATTGAAAAATACCCCAACATACCGAATTGTATTCGAATATAACAATTACCTAGATCGAAATTTATTTACAAAAAACAAAAATAAGGATTCAACTTCGACACTCTGTATCTCAGAAACGGATAACTTTCGGACATATATTTATACAAACTTTTCTTCTCATTTTGACGTCAGCAACATGCTCCTGAATTTTCTACACGTACTTAAGAAACACCCTGTATATCTGCCAAGCATACTTTTTTCCCGGATATATATCACATATATATATACGCTGTTGATGGCTTTTGTTGTGCTATAGTTCCGAAAAATGAGTCAATAATACCGTCTCCGAGAAAGAACTGCAAGTCCATTTATCTTTCATTTGACTTTGCGGTTACGTATATTACTAAACAACCACTAAATTTGCAATTTTTTGAAATCAAATCACAGAATTAGACTGACAGAAGTGACATCATATATTTGATTACTTCAAAAGAATGATGAAGATGCCTACAACGCAGGTGTCCCTATTGTTAAAAACTTGAAATTTCTACTAGTTTTTCCCCTTGTATCATAAATAACTATTATTTCTGGAAAACAATATGGAAATGAAACCTATTCAAATGACCAAGTCGGTATTGTGGTTTTATTTCGAGCCTCTTTACGTCCAAATTCAGCACTAAATCTCTCATAGCACACTGTGCAACGCAATCGCTCACCAGTATGCTCCAGTTCATCTTTCAAATACGGTTGACTTCGGGCTCCTGAAGAGATACTAGTTTTTTGATGATGTGTTTCAAAATGTCTTTTTCAATTCCGTAATGCTTTTTTTGTCTTGCGTCAGTTTTGAATACACCACATGAGTGTTTATTAAAGTATTTCCCAAAATAATTTCGACTGCCAGTTTCCGATACCATTTCATACCGCGTCTAAGTGGGGTATTATAGGCTTTTTGTTGATTTGAGAGATCTATATATCTCTTGGAGTCAGATAATGTTTGGCTTAGCATAGCTTTCATTGCATCTAAATGCTTTGCACATGCACAATAGTCGCTTGGACTGTTTAGGATTTGTCGGAACATGATTAGGCACAGTACTCGTATCTCGCGGCACAATCGATTCATATTCTACCCTCTGTGCCGTGAGGTACCAATGCTGTGCCACATTGTTTTTTGAAAAAATATGGAAAATAATAACAGATATGATAATTTTGAGAATATTTCTGTGTTCTACAAATGAAATGATGTGAATTCCCGTCAAACAAAAAATTTGGCACACAGGGACCAGATATGTTTCCTTCTCTTGGCGGCAGCCAACGTGTTAAATATTGAAAATCGAGTTAGCAATGTATGAATTACTCTATAGTTGTAGAAAGACTTACCGGTTGTCCAGGAAGTCCGTTCTTCCCGGGCACCCCATCCACTCCCGCCGACCCCATGAAACCGGGCGGGCCGGGTGGCCCCCTCGGCCCTACGTCTCCGTCCCTGCCGTCCACCCCCCTATCGCCCTTGTCGCCCTTCAGGCCGGGCAGGCAGTCGAAGCAGCGGCCGCCCACGTCGCCCTTGGCACCCGGAATCCCGGAGGCGCCGGGCACGCCGGGTCGACCCTGGTTGCCCTTCTCGCCCTGAGGCCCCGTGGGGCCGGTGTAGCCGGGGATGCCGTTAAGGGCGTCGCCGGGCGTGCCTCTGGGGCCGCTGAAGCCCTTCTCGCCCTTCAGGCCCTTCTGACCGTCGCGCCCGTTCTCGCCGTCTTCGCCTTTGGGGCCCTGCATGAAGAGATTTTCGTATGTAATGCAACAAGTGTATTGGTCATCGATCATCGATATACATCAGGGTACCCTACTAAGATAGATACAGGGTGATCATCTTATACTCCGAAGTTCTATAACTCTGTTGTCTTGGGAGATACACTATTGCTTTCCAAAACATCAGCATTCGAATGGCTAGAAGTGTCGGTATATCATTCGATAATAGAATACAACACTGTTTGAATGTAATGGGAGGTCACTTTGAGAAATATCGATTTTTATATTCGGTTTTTTGTCGTTAGTTATTATTGTTTAATAAGAAAATCTATGATTATATGGAAATAAAATCTTATTCTTGGTGTATGTGTGTGTTTGTGCATTGATTTGTTAATTGGAAACAAGCAGACACGGCCTACTCTAACAGACTTACATTTGCCGAACATGTCGATTTTATTTCTGAAAATCAAATTAATTCGATAACAGTAACATTTAGGTATAGGAAATGCTTGACAAAAGTGGAAGTGTTTTGTGAGTTCTTTTTAAAAATGCCATGAAATACAGGGTTTTTCAAAATAACTGAGAAAATCATCGGCACTAGTTTTGGTTCACCCTGTGTACAAAATGAGAGATATTAAGAACGTGATGAGTTGAAACGAAACCAGACCATTATCAAATCCTTTTGACAATGAAACCTGAACCCTCAGTTGTTCATTCTGATTAATACAGGGCGACGATTTCGTTGAGATTTTTACATATAAGTAGCCATAGCTCCGAAAGTACTATGTAGAATCTAGTAAAACCCTATATTGCCAGAATGGAGAAAATGAGTAGAATTCAAATTCAAGATAATATATAGGGTATTCTATTGGAAAAACATAACTTTGATGTGCTGTGACCTTATGAAACATCCTGTATAATTCAAAATGATTTTGAAATGTGAAGCTCGCTCATCACTTCAATTTTGATATCGAACTTCTTTTCGTATCTCTCGAAACAATAATAGAGGTATCGAACTCCGGGGTATGAGGTGATCACCCTGTATACCTGGTGACACAGGAGACTTATAACAAACAGCCTGTAGTTTTTCTATTTGAAAAGATACAAATTTGAAATTCGATGGTGGCGCTTCTCTTGAACCCAACGACTATTTTCTTTAACCACCTGTTTGATCGGAAGTAGACCCAACTTTTTCATTGCAAATGGCACCCTGTATATTTCCGTAGCCTATCTTATTTGCATTGTGATTCTCTATTCAATTATGTATCACATTTTGATATTTGTTCATCAATTGGCCATCAAATTACATTTTATTAAAATACATGAAGTTGGCTGTCACCCGAATGCGATGACATTCCGATGCTTAGAAATCTAAAGATCATTACTCAGACGATATTGAAAATAAAATCATCTGAAAATAACTCACGATATTGGCAAAACTGAGATAGAAACTCAGTTTCTTTCATTTGGCTACTTGTGAAGAAACTATTTGTCTTTCCTTTTTGCCATGTAGCCATAATATCATCATCCATTTGGATACATGAAACTGAAATCGTTGTAATGATTGATGTATCGTCCTAATATCGTGAGGAGTTATACTCGAACGAGCTTTTAAACTCAATGAAATTATTGGTAATCTTCTGGGACCGATTAAGGTATGGAAAATATTCTCATAATATCGAGCATCGAAATGACATTGCATTCGGGCCACAGCCAACTTCATGTATCTCAATAAAATGCAATTTAACAGCCAATTATTGACCAAATATCAAATTCTTATCTCTTCAAATGAAAGAACTACAGGCTGTTACATGTCTCCTGTGTCACCCGGTATAGATAGATGAATAGATAGCACTTGAAAGTGATATTGTACAAAAACAATAGTTATTTGTTTAACTAGACAGCAAAGTAGTAGATTGACTGCCGAGGCTGAATCCAGCTAAGGCAGTCAATCTACGTTGCTGCCGAGTTGAACATATAATTTTTTCTCCGATTGTTCATAATGATATAGGTATATCTCTTTATTTCTCCTGTAGTGTTCAATCAAAATAAAATTTGATAGAAATCGTTGTTGGAATGGTTGGTTGCTATGGAAATGTCAATAATGATTATAGTTTGACAATTCATGAAATTTCTGACAGTTGTGCGAAAAAATATCGGTATATTCAAATTATTATATAAAGGACAGTGATAGCGACCTGAAAGTACTTAAACCTCCAGAAATAAGGGAGCTGGCAAAAAATATAGAGTTGAATTTGTTGCCGGAGAAGTCTTGGATAAAATATGAAGGAAATTATAAACGATTTATGGATTATTGATTTTGCTGATACATATCAATCAGCAAAGAAACCACTTTGCTGCCTAGGCAGGAAAAGTAATACTTTGCTGATTGATATGTGTCAGCAAAATTAATATTTGCTGCCAATCGGAGAAAAAACTATTTATTAATAAAGATTAAAAATAGGAAGAACGATGAATACACAGGGTGTCTGTAAGAGGTCTTTAAAAAAACATAACACACATTCCCTAGACCAAAATAAGTCGATTTGAGTAAAATTACCCCAGTACAAAGTTGCATTGTTTGGGCTCCAGAGGGCCTTGAAGTTAGAATTTTTAAATCGTTTTTCCCATATAAATTCAAAACGGCATATGCGATCCTCTATTGATAGAGTTTTATGTGGCAGAAAAAATGCTGTTAAAATTTTGTCTGATAATAATACATAGGCGTAGAACCCGATTTTTTAAATAATTGCACCTTTAAACATTCTACGCCAATGGAAGAAAAGAAGTTTGAGTATGAAATTTAGATTGCGCAACTCATTCACTTTTAAAAAGGTACTCTTGATAAGACTCGTTTGCCCTCATGGTTTTAACGAAATTTGCATTTTAGCAATTTTAGAACATAAACAATAATTATTAAAAAACAAACTTTGTCAAAACCATGAGAGTCAATCGAGTGTTATCAAGGATTCTTTTTTGTGATAAATGAGCTCGTAAATGAGTACCCAATCCAAATTTCATACTCAAACCCCTTTTCTGCCATAGGCGTAGAACTTGATTTTTTAAATAATTACACCTTTAAAAATTCTACGCCAATGGCAAAAGGGGTTTGAGTATGAAATTTGGATTGGGTACTCATTTACTACAAAAAAGTACTCTTGATAATACTCGATTTACTCTCATGGTTTTGACAAAGTTTGTATTTTAATAATTATTGTTTATGTTTTAAAATTACTAAAATGCATATTTCGTCAAAACCATGAGAGCAATCAGGTCTTATCAAGAGTACCTTTTTTATAGTAAATGAGTTGCGTAATCTGAATTTCATACTCTAACTCTTGGTTCCTATCATTTTCTTTCAAAATACCGTTTCTTTACATTTAAATTATCGTTTGCTTCTCAAATTTCTTTCTTCAATTTCACTGGCACTGGTGGAAGAACAGGGGTGGATTAGTCCACAACTGAACCAGTTATAGTCATTTATCCACTTGAATTCTGTTATATTACGTACCCTGTACTATTTAAATATTTTGTGGATAATAAATGTATTATTATTATTATTATTATTATTAACTCCTTTTCTTCTATTGGCGTAGAATTTTTTAAGCTGCAATTATTTGAAAAATCAAGTTCTACGCCTATGTATTATTATTGGACAAAATTTCAACACAATTTTTTTTGCCACATAAAACCCTATCAATATCTCACAGGAAGGAAGGAATGCTCGAAGTCATCTCCACAAATTTTGATGATATTTTTAACTAAATCATGAGGGACAAGTTTCGGTCTTATAAGAGACCATCTGCAGCCTAATTGAAAGGTTTGGAGTTGAAAAAATTTTTTTTCATTTTATTTTTTATTAAATGCTACTATTCCTTGAACTGTCAATGCCCATAGTCGAGAGTTCCACGGTACCAAAATGGTATATGAAGGGTATTGTCAAACAGTTTATTATCTGACAACACCATAAACAAGTGGGTTTTTAAAAAAGGGGTTCCCCGTTCCCTTATGAAGGCGTTATTTAAAGGCAAATATCAATAAAATTGATGGGGCAAGCAGCCAGCACGTGTTTCAAATTTGAACAGTTTAGATCGAGGATACATTTCAAAATTGATTTGAGGATACTATTAATAATATAGCCAATTATTATATATTTAATTGAGATTATTACACATTGTTGTCACGGGTGCCGTAAGATTAATATTTGTTCTACTATTTTCACAATAGAATGTCATCTCATTATGTAGTATTCATTCGTGGAGTGTGGAAATTGATATTTTCTAGAAATAACCGGATACCTCTTTATCACAGGTTAATTTTGATGCCTCATCAAACTTTTAGTTTGATTTTCCCAAGTGTAATTATCACCTTTCGGTAATTCAAGGGCACGTGGGCCCTCGTAAAATATGAACCTCACCTTTAATCGATGAATTTATAGTAAAACTTTATAACATAATTTTATATCATTTTACAGTGACAATCATGGAGCATATTTCCCTATTTGCACTGTTATTACCTATACTATTTGTATGTCTACTTTTTTCATTTCCATAACTATGATAATTTATATTGGCTGATGATGGGCTTATATGAGCCCGAAACATGTTCCTTTAAGATTGATCTTTTATCATTCTGATGAATGTTGTGGAGATGACTTTGGGTTTTCATCTATGAACTTCTTAAGGATACTAATTTGACTACCTTCATGGCAGTTCATGACATTCATACAAATTTGAGTCTAATTTCCATAACAATACCTACCATTATAGATAGTCCCTTCTCTCCTGTCAGTCCTCGCAGACCCTGTGGACCCATAGGGCCAGGGAAGCCCCTAGGCCCGTCATTTCCTGGTAGTCCTGTTACTCCAGACAGTCCTTGTTCTCCCTTTTCACCAGGTGCTCCCTCAGGACCTAAAATAAAAAAATCGACATAGAAATGTCTCGGAGGTCTCGAGAATGAAGATTCGTTTATAATTCAGAAATGAAATACCACACTGGTCAGCTGCGCTGATTTGAAACGGGTGTTGATTATTTATTCATTGTGAATTGAATTTCATAAACTCTCATCCACATACTATGAAATTCCATCTGTGAATATTGATCAAAAGTATAAGATATCAAATGAGGTCGACCTCCACTCATCTGCTTGCCGGAAATAAAATATGTTTTTGAACATGTACCTATAGGGTTGCCATGAAATATATGTTCATGACTATGATGAATAAAAATTAAAAAATGAATGATATATTCCTATGGAAAGCATGGAATATGGAACAGGTAGGTTCCCTATATTTTTCTGGATAATAATAATTGCACCGATATGCTTACCACTCATGAAATATATCAAAATGAAGGCAATTTCATAACGAATATGTACAGTATTATAAGGTTGCCTTGCAAAATCCGTTCATGAATAGGGGTTGCCAGGCTTTCAAATTGAAAAATCGGGTGTAAGCCGAGGAGCATTGCGAGTACTATTTGATGCGATAGAGCGGGACATAGTACACTAGCTGTGCTACAGAACGTAACAACGTAACAATATTATTCTTGTGATTATTGTGATCATTATTATCATCTTCATTACTATCGAATTCAAGAAGTTCGGATACTATCCCTACCTGGTGTTCCAGGTAACCCAGGTCCTCCAGTGGGTCCCACCGGTCCTCGCGCTCCGGGCTCTCCAGGGAATCCGTCCAACCCCTTGGGACCCATGGGACCCGGATACCCTCTCGGGCCATGCGGTCCTGGCGCCCCTGGGGTGCCCTTCCCGCCACCTGGCGGGCCGGGCGGGCCTGTCAGCCCCAGTTGGCCCGACGGTCCGTCCCTTCCTGGCTCGCCCTTCAGTCCTGGTCGTCCGGCCAATCCGGGGATTCCTGAGAGGCCGCGGTCTCCTTTCTGGCCCGGGGGACCCGGAGGGCCGGCGAAGCCGTCTCTGCCCTAGCGGATGAACGTCAAATAATAATAATAATAATAATAATAATAATAATAATAATAATAATAATAATAATAATAATAATAATAATAATAATAATAATAATAATAATAATAATAATAATAATAATAATGCATTCGGTCTACTTCAAGACCATTGAAGACCGGGGCTTATCCAAAGAACTGACTTTTGCTTTTCTCAAGTCAGGCGGGCTCAAATCGGAAACAGAGGGGTTCATCATGGCATGCCAGGATGGGGTTTTCAACACTCTCGTCTACCGTAGCCGTGTCATGGGTATGGAGGTCCCTGACACAAATTGCAGGGCCTGCCGCAGGGCGCCCAAGACAATTATGCACCTGATGTCCTCTTGCACGGTGTATGCAGTCTCGGCCTATATCCATAGACACAATGCGGCATTACGAGTGCTCTATTATCACTTGAAGCACTCGTACGGAATAGACGAGACTCCAGTGCTGCCCTATGCTCCGGGGGATATTGAGTCCGTTGTGGAGAATGAGAGGTGCCGAATTTATTGGATCTTCTCATTCCCCACCCTCAGGCAAATACAAGCTAACACGCCTGATGTAGTCCTCCTCGACCATCAAACCAAAGCGATGTGCGTGATCGAGTTTTCGGCCCCAGCCGAACCGAACATCGTTTTGAAGGAGGAGGAGAAACGGACTAAATATCGAGATCTTCTCTTCGAACTCCGCAGGCTCTATCCTGAACATTCTGTGGAATTGGTCATCCTGATAATCGGCTCCCTAGGAGGCACACGATATACGCTGCTCTCGGAAATCCAGAAAATCCCAGCGTGCAGCGATAAAGCACACATCCTGGCTGGTGGAATGCAGGAGGCCGTCATACTTGGATCATTGCGTTTACTCAGGGCACACGGTTCTTGGTCCCAGTGATTATTCACCTCACAGGCTGTGGGGAATAGTCACTGGATTTTATCCAGCACTACTCTGCGTGGCGTCGGAGGCCGCAGGTTCGTGACTGGAATTACATGAATTCAAATAATAATAATAATTGTTATTTTCTGTTAAATGTATAACATGAAACAGTGAAATACGTGAAAACAAAGAAAATAATATAACAAACAAACAATGCGACAGCATCACAATTAAAAACAATTATACATCACGTCACTAACATTACATAGAATTATATAAAATACTCATCCAGCGTATAGCAGGCCTTTTGAATTAGCTGTTGTTTAAGCCTCTTTTCAAATATATTGAAGTTGAGAAATTTGTTCATCATGAGAGTTATATAGTTCACAGCCAGTATAATAAAAACTTTTCTGGTACAACGTAGTCCGGTGTCTCTCATGAGTCTCATGTTGATTAGGAAAGATGATTGAGAAATCGTCTTTATGGATATAATTAGTATCTATTAGAGTTCCTAAATGTACTTGACACTGCTGTTTTGACGTTTTTTGTATAATATCAGAGTACGAACACTATGACAAGCACTGACAATCAGACATAACCACAAATAAATTAATGGAAGAAGCGGGAAATGACAGTACACGGACGTACATGACAAAACCACGCCCACAAGTCGTGCGCCGTGGTTGTCACGTTCACCGATTGAAATGTCCTCTAGTGTCAATTAATATAATTATTATTTACACAAATCTATTATAAGCTATAAGCCACAAATTGTAAGGGAACATTTTGAGACACTTGAATTTTTATTGCTAATTAGGAATATTACCAATAGTGAATTGAGAATTTATGAATTATCGAATAACTAATATTTCTGAAGTTTCCTACTTACGAAATCGTGGCGTCAGTTCTTACTAGCGGTAAAATTCTGGCTGTATGAAAATTACCGTGGCATTATTGATGATTTTAGCAGGGAACAATCGACCAAAAAATTCTTTAAAAATATGAAATTGAAAGGTATTTGTGTTGATTTCATTTAAGAAATAAAAAAAAATCAGTTCACTCGCCGATTCTTGCAAATCCAGGTATATTCACTATATCGCTTTGACATTTGATTCTCAATGACGGTGATTATGATTAATGATAAATCACGAGAAGTTATTCAGAACAGAGGGGTATTTTGTTGGACCATTTCACGTTCACGAAGCATACAAAGCATTTATTATTAATGAGTGATTCATTCTGACAAGTACAGCAATGATTATTTAATGCCAATTGCTCCGCTAACCATGGTTACATCGTTGAAAAAATCAACGCTGATAGACCAATCAGAATTGAAATACCAATTAATGTTTTCGCGCTAAGCACACGTTGTCTCTGGCTTGTGATTGGTCCGATTATGTGATGAGTGAAATAGTCATAAGTAATATCACGATATTCGAGATAATTCTGTTGCTTCATTATTCACGAAATTGTGTTGCCGTGCAACACTACGAGTCCGTCACGACGAGTGGTATTGCTGAACGCCAACACAGGAAACAAAATTAAGGATCAAGAAAAATACCCTGTGCCTTCAGTTTTTTGGAATGACTTGTATGGAATATTACACATTTCAATTTATATTTGCTTCGGAGATTTTATGGATATCCGTAATATATCTCTTAACGGATATCTATTTTGAAAAATTGTATGAATATCCCGTGGATGCCTCCGAATGAACGTCAACATACGGAGTTTTTCAAGAAGATAAATTCCTGGTACAATACTTAATATATGGTTTTCGGAGGATATCTTTTTCGAATCGATGAATATTACGAATATGCATCTCATCTAGAAAACTAGTTTAGCTAGGTATATGTACAGTGATTTCGATAATTATATGAATTCATGTTTGCTTCGAGTATTGCATGGCTTTCTCTAGGGCTATTCATAAAATATCTTCTTAAGAATTCTTGTTCTCAAACCATCAATGAAATAATATCTCATGAATACCTGAACTCACACAATCAATCAATAAATTCTTAATTGTTTCGAAAAACTAAGTTTCAATACAATAAGTTCATTTTAGTTGAGAACACAAAAAAAAAGTTTATACTCAAGTGAAAAATAATGATAATGAAGAAAACAGTTCAGTCTAGGTATAAAGAAGTAGGTAAGGTAGATTGAGATTAGTTGGAGCCATATAACTCACTCTAGGACCTGGTGCACCAGACAGCCCTTTCTCTCCCTTCATCCCGATGGAACCCGCCAATCCGTAGTCCCCGTCCGGCCCTGGCTCACCCTTCTGCCCGGGGAACCCGTAGTCGCCCGTATCCCCCGTCCTGCCCTTGTCGCCCTTCGGTCCCAAAATGGCCGTCTGGTTCTGTCCGTGATGCCCGTCAGCCGGGTCTCCCTTTTCTCCAGGTGGCCCCCTGCCCCCTCTTTCTCCTTTCGGCCCATAGAAGCCTACGCCCATGGAACCCTTTTGACCCTTGGAGCCCGGAGGACCGCGAGGACCCTGTAAGTCAGAAGGAATTAGATGGGTGTGTGTTTACGAAGTGGTACACCTGCTATTAACATCAACAACGAATTACGCACGTATTTGCTGATATACGCTGCCTCTAAGATAAATTGCGCTATAGTTCAATCAAATCGTGCAGAAACAGGGCTTGAAGTGAAAAGTTCTGGTGGTGCGAATTTTAGTGGTTCATTTCAAAATATCTTCTCCTTAACCACTCTGTATCTCTCAAACCAGCAATATTTTTATGAGGCATGTTGGGCTAAATCTTCATATTTGGGTGTTGGAAATGAATCTCTTCAAGAGCGAATAACACAAAAACCGTTGGAGCTAAACAGTTTGATATAAAGTACATTTTTCATGTGAAATTGAACGAGTTTTCAGAAATTCCACTTATTTTGATCATCAATGAATTGACATAGAAGATATGATGTAAACTATCGAAGTTACAGAGTGCCACTAGCGCCATCTATGAGCAATCACAAAATAAGTTGCAAATTCATATTCCTCATGTCAGAAAACCTAGGAATACAAGATTTTATGTTCATGCTGTTAAAACTAACAAACTTATTGTGAAATTTTGAAATAAAATGTACCCCTCTAGAGCACCCTGTATCTCCTAAACCAGCAACATTCTCATCAGGCATATTGGGGTCAATCTCATTATTTTTGTGTTCACTATCTGTAGCTCAGAGATTTGCCATTCTTAATGAATCACCCTGTATATAAACGCAAAAAGCTATTCAATATCTGCGATCCTGCCTCATCAACTTGGGATGATCAATTTATGATTTTTGAAAGAATAGTTCGATATTCGAGGGTGTGATATCTGAAATATATTGATATGCATTTGAAATAATATACTAGGTATAATCAGAATTTTATCTGCTACTGTTATAGAAACGTTGTATATCTCCTCTTTATATACTAGGTGAACATTAAATAATAATTATAATAATAATAATGAATGTTTGTATTAGAAAAACTGTTTCATAATTGAAATGCGACACGTGACAATATCCTTCTTTATTGAACTATTGGATAGTATCATATTTTATCTCCTCCATAATTGCTGAAACACACTGTATAATTCTTGACCAACAGCAACAATATTGAAGAAAACTTCTTGTAGTGACTTATCCTATCAAAAAATAATATAATAATAGCTCAAATTGAAAAATTTATCAGGAGAAAAAAAAACATTGAGACTTCAGCGGCCTCTAGCGCCAAAACTAGCCATTAGAACAGTTTGGTATTCGGACATTCTGTTCAGAATGTCTTGGACTATAACATATCAACAAGTCAGCCAATTCGACCAGGAGGCCAATTCTCCCTATAAAACGTGCGGTGTCCTTTGAAGAAAATATAGTTTAGTGAATGTTCATTGAGTTACCCGTATACTGTACTCTAGCACTACTTCAATTTGTTTTCGCTAACTTAGTCTTGCATATACGATCACTGAATCACAAACTATGCTTTTCCTGTACTAGTCATGAGTTAAACTGAGTTCCAAATGTTGTGGTGTGATATTATAATTTACACTTACAGTAGCTCCAAATTCTCCTTGAGGTCCAGGCAATCCAGACGGTCCCAGTGGTCCGGGGTTTCCCGCTGGACCTGTCACACCGTCCCGTCCTGGTTCTCCCTTCTGTCCCTTCAACGTGATCTCGCAGTGGGCATCTTCTCCACGCTCTCCCTTGATTCCAATAATTCCCGGCATACCTCTTGGTCCTGGCTGGCCAGGGAAACCATCGACGCCAGGAAGACCCTATGAATCAGAGAGTCACTTTGGTATTTCACAACGAACAAGGACATATTTTTTATGAGAAAATGATCTTACATCGGTCCCGTTGCAACCGTCCATACCAGGAATACCAGGAGAACCTGGTGGACCTTGGATTCCGGGTATACCATGGAGACCTGGGAATCCAGGAACACCAGTCTTTCCTCTTTCTCCTTTCGGACCTCGGGGTCCTAAGATACCGGCTTCGCCCTTATCTCCTTTGTCTCCCATCATGCCTTCTCCACCAGGGAAACCCCTCTGTCCTTTATCACCAGGAAGACCGGGAACACCAGGAAATCCCTAAAGAAACAGCATATAGATTGATAGTTAAAATTCAAATAAAATGTATGATATTCCAAAATAGTAATGATACTACTCCAGAAACAGCGATTCCACTCACTCTATTTCCTTTTTCAGCGAAACACTTGGGCAAACACTTCTCACTACCATTTCTTCCTCTTCCAGGAGAATCGAAGATGTCATAGCTGCTAGAGTACGGCCTTCGATTGGCATAAGGACTGCTTTCATATCCCCCATAAGCAACTTTTCTACCTTCATACGATGATCCAGACTGTCCATCAACTCTTCCTTCACCTCCATATGATCCCGATTCGGATAACGACGATCCAGCTGACCCAGGTTGACCTCCATAAGATGATCTGCTCTCATAAGATGACTCTGAGCGCTCGTAGTATCCCGGTGGTCCAGTTGGTGATCCTGATTGCCCTGCGTAAGATCCTGATCGATTTTCATACGATGATCCAGATCGACTTCCATAGGACCCTGATTGACCTTCAGGGTTTTCTGGTTGACTTCCTGGGGATCCAGATTGGCCTCCATATGACCTCGATTGACTGCTATACGATGAACCTGATTGGCCGCTGTAGCCTCCTGGCTGACCTGCAGGATATCCTTGTTGACGTCGATTTTCATATGATGATCCTTGTTGAGCTCCGTAGGATCCAGGCTGACCTTCCGAGGAGCCTGACTGGGCGCCGTAAGATCGCGATTGACTTCCGTATGAGCCTGATTGGCTGTACGTCCTGGATCGATCATCGTATTCTCGAGGCAGAGAGTTGGCATAGTTTGGTGAATCGGGGGCAGATGTTACGTATTCATCGGTTAGGGTGGATTCGTACCCAGTTCGCCGTCTTCCTGCTTCGTATTCGGCATTTGAGGCGCCGTATTCGCCTTGGGCAGCATCTCCATCTAGGTCCTGATCTCCCCTGAAACGTGTTGATATATAATTGATCGAGAAATAATGCATGACTGATTCGGAAAGTGGGAGTAATTTTTATGAAATTCGATATCGGTGAGTTCTCGAGTACCTAGTTTTGATATGTATTTGCAATTCATCAACTCAGGGTGGCCAAATTAACATTCCCGTAATCATGATTCTGGAAATCTATACGGGTGTCTCATAATAAAGTGAAACTGCAGAATCCTTGGTTGTAGAAAATCTGATTTGACCACCTTAGCTCTGTTGAAATGTTGAAGTCCAAGTGAATATTCTAATTTAATTCTCGTAGGCACCTAACTATTTTTCAAACCATTATTATTTATTTTTGAATAAATTATTCTAACTACGGGTATATTTGATCCAGGAAGTAGAATTTGCAGATAATTTCGGTGCGGTGGCTAGGATTAGTGCAGTAAGAGCGGAGTAGGAGCACAATCAATTGACAAGCCAAAGGTCTGATCAATGGCAGAGCAGAAACCTTCCATTGATAAATTCTGAATTTCATAGCCTTGGACGAAGATAGTTCTGTATGATTCACTTTTGTTTCCCAATAAATATGGCTGCTCCTAGGGTAGCATATGAAGTCAGTAACAGATCTCTGAGTGAATACTAATCTAGTTCAAATTTGACAAGTTTCACTTTTGTTAGAGTACTTCCATAGGGAATTTCCTTCAGAAATCTCTGCTTTCATTTCATAAATAGCATTACTAGTTAGACGAACTCAGTCATCGTTTCCATTGATCCTCAACCTCGAGATATATCGAGCAACTCTCTACCAAAACTCGTTTATATATTGAACGGCTCGGGATTTTGTTGCCTAAGGTCGTATTTTCAAGAACGAATATAACTTCTGAGAGTTGAAAATCATTCCAATACACTACAATATATATATTCTCTATATATTGCATCTTCTTATCACATGAGGTTTCGGAAATACTCAAGGGGGATAATTATTGATAGACATTTGCGATGGGACTTACAAATGTCCAATCTGGGGAAAAAAATTAGAGGATTTCTCGGTAGATTCAAACTCCTTAGAGAATTTCTTGACATAGAGCACTTGAAATCTGTATACTACGCCCTTATTCAAACACAACTTACCTATGGAATCATTGGATGGGGGGGAGTAAATGACATTCATTTGAATAAGGTAAATGTACTACAAAAATGGATATTGAGACTAATATACCGAAAAAAAATACCGTCTAGCGATGAATTATACAAAGATAGTAAAATATTGAATATTTGGCAGCTATACTGCCAAAAAATCTTAAATGATTCACATTCTAAGAAAATAAAACTCCACCCTGTCGAACATGATTACGACACTCGTCAAAGACAACGAAGTGTCAAAATTCCCCAATGTGAAAAGAGTATTGGTCAAAGAAGCTTCATTTTTCTAAGTGCAAAATTATTCAATTACATACCCATTCAACTCAGAACTATAAAAAATCATGGATTTTTCAAACGTAAAATTAAGCAATGGCTACAAAATATTGAAAGGTCAATAATCAGCAACATTGTCAATAATAATTATATCTAATTCTGTTTTGAAAATAGTATGAAATATAAATCTTCTTACCTGTGAGAACTATATATACAAAACTTACATCAAATGTTTGATAATTCTAATACTCGGTATACCTAATTCAATTTGTTATAGTCCATTATTCTCGTGTTTTTTTAATCAGTATCATGTTAACTAACTCATTTTTTGTTGTGGTAATTTTGATTGTATCAGAAATAACATACAAGATCGAATACGGCATACTATGCATTTCTATATCACGTACAAGCTGGCCTACAGCTTCTGTGATTGTCATGTTTATTCTGCTAATGTTCACTCCCAATTTTCAATTATCATTTTCGTTTCAGTATTGTATTTGTATAATTACTCTTACCTCAATTTTATATATATATATATATGTTCACCATTAGGTTTGTATATAACATAACACTTCTTATACATTGCGAATAAACATTATTCTATTCTATTCTATTCTATTCTATTCTATTCTATTCTATTCTATTCTATTCTATTCTATTCTATTCTATTCTATTCTATTCTATTCTATTCTATTCTATTCTATTCTATTCTATTCTATTCTATTCTATTCTATTCTATTCTATTCTATTCTATTCTATTCTATTCTATTCTATTCTATTCTATTCTATTCTATTCTATTCTATTCTATTCTATTCTATTCTATTCTATTCTATTCTATTCTATTCTATTCTATTCTATTCTATTCTATTCTATTCTATTCTATTCTATTCTATTCTATTCTATTCTATTCTATTCTATTCTATTCTATTCTATTCTATTCTATTCTATTCTATTCTATTCTATTCTATTCTATTCTATTCTATTCTATTCTATTCTATTCTATTCTATTCTATTCTATTCTATTCTATTCTATTCTATTCTATTCTATTCTATTCTATTCTATTCTATTCTATTCTATTCTATTCTATTCTATTCTATTCTATTCTATTCTATTCTATTCTATTCTATTCTATTCTATTCTATTCTATTCTATTCTATTCTATTCTATTCTATTCTATTCTATTCTATTCTATTCTATTCTATTCTATTCTATTCTATTCTATTCTATTCTATTCTATTCTATTCTATTCTATTCTATTCTATTCTATTCTATTCTATTCTATTCTATTCTATTCTATTCTATTCTATTCTATTCTATTCTATTCTATTCTATTCTGTTCGATTCTATTCTATTCTATTCTATTCTATTCTATTCTATTCTATTCTATTCTATTCTATTCTATTCTATATTCTATATATTCTATTCTATAATATCATCTTCAGGAGCCCCCTTTCAGGGGGCCGTAGCTCCCTCAGGAGACATTTCTCATCGCATGTTCATTGAAACTTTCCTTCCTATTTTTGATCGTAGAAGCCACTGGTGATGTTTGGCAGGCTGATTTTGGGACACCCTGTATACATACCCCTTGAAACAGGAAGCATGATACTCACCTATGTTCTGATTCTGACCTGGATTCTTCATACCGACGATCTTCCCTATATTCTGTAGAATCGGGACTAGCGACTATATTTTCAGGATATCGGCTGTTGTCTGGCGAGCTGACTTCACCATTCCTGTACCTGCCGTAATACCTATTCCTGATTCCTCCTAATTGAGTTCTTCCGTAGAGTCCCGTTCGGTTCTCGGTAGGATATTTGCTAAGAAATTGCTGGAAAAAACAAAGAAATATGTTAATGAGGTACATATCAATGTATAGTTAATGGAGCATTATGCAATTTCGTCATGCCTTATTCAAAATGCATTCAAGAATGGATGTTTGAAAAAGAGCAACATTTCAACGAGAGTTTAATAATTCTCCGATCAGTTTGAAGTTCTATGAGTCAACTGATTGTAACAAATGATCACAACCGCCTATGAAGCATCTTTTGTTCTCTAGATGCACCAAAACCTGCGAAATCAAACCGACAATGATTGATTCCATGAGTAGACAAAAAGATCACATACGAATCTCTGATTCTATGATGTGGCAGAACAAATTCAGAGAGAAAACACCACAACAGCAGCTGCAAAAATCGAGAGGGTGGTACAACAGCAATGCTGCTTTCAGTGCATACAGACAAACTCTACCAAAATGGCAGACCCAAAAAATACGTAATTCAAAAAGTAGATACAAATGATCTTGACGATCAAACCAGCTGACCTCTCAACCTTACACAGCTCTTGGGTAACCTAAATGAACAAAGAGTCTCTTGTCTAGTACACTGATGGTGAAAACAAACAGGTTCTAGATGCAGTTATGAATCTGGATGTGTTCTGGGACCTCCTCTTCCCAGTAGACATACAAAAAGTAGAAACACATGATCTTGACGATCAAACCAGCTGACCTTCCAACCATACACAGCTCTTGGGTAACCTAAATGGACTGAGGGTCTCTTGTCTAGTACACTGATGGTAAAAACATTAGTAGACCCTGGATGCAGTTAATAATCTGGATGTGTTCTGGGACCTCGTCTCCCAAGTAGACATTCATCAACCTCTTCGTCTAAAAGTATTCAAACTATAAGGCAGAAGAGTGCTCTATGACATTCATGTGACTAGGCAGTCGAGCGCCGGCCCTTAAAGCCGTCATCAACCTATAATACATCGAAGATTTTGTGAGACTGCGATGAAAAAGTAGTGAGCCTGGGAAACGATAGCAAAGTTACATAATTATGGAAATTGATCACCCTGATACAATGTCATATTTTATTTTATGAGAAGAAAACGGAAAATGGGAGACAAACAAATCTTCCCAGTGGCGATCAACTACAGGCCAAATATTTGTACCTCTGACGAAGTATCACCTAGTAGAACTGTGGAGTATTTGCTGGTCCATTAAGAAGTTGAACAACCTTAAAGGATTATTCAAAACACCTACATCGGAACCGCCTCTCTGGATATCATATGGAATTACACCTTTTATTGTACAAATAGATCTCCTTCATGTCCAAGTGATTGAAAGACTTTGTAGCCCAAGCAACTCACCAACAGTCTAAATTTCTAAAACTACTCCAAACCTATAACTATGGACCTATCCAGTTCAACGCTTGGTGGTTTTTTCAACATATCAACCTATTTGTAACTATACAAGGTGAGTCATATAACTATTTAGATATAGATCGTACCAAAATGTAGAGATAAGACATAAGAGATAAGGTGAGTCATATAACTATTTAGATATAGATCGTACCAAAATGTAGAGATAAGACCAAATATGAATCAATAAAATATTGCTGTGGGAAAAAATACAGGCCAACAAAGTTGAATATTTTTTTCTTCGTTTTTTGCTTATAATTTCACTGTTTATTCAGCAATTGTTATCTAGATCGACACAAAGGCATAATTTTATACAGGGAGTACAGTGTACAGGGCGCGCCACGTGAATGATTCCTGATGATGAAGTTGACTGATGACTTTTCGTCACAAAACTTTTGATCAGAAAATATGGCATGATCATCATGTTCACGTGATACTTGTACTTTTGTTTGAACAAAATATTATCATCCGTTTTTTGAGAAAAACGCAATTGAACAATTCGAAGTTCAGAAAGGGTATTTCAAATATTATTCCATTCATGAAGAGTGTGATTTGGATTGTCAGATAATTGATACTGGTGAATTACATGTCTTGTCAGTGAATGGATTTTGGTGCGAGGTTATATAGTCAATACTCTCTCTCATTTTCCACAGCAATATTTTATTGAGGCATATTTGGTCTTATCGACATATTTTGGTACAAACAATACACTCTTTGCCTCAATGTCCCAATAGTTATGACTCACCCTGTATATTCATTGATTTATTGATCTGTACTGTTGATTGGAAAACAGGTTGGAATCCGTATAGTAGGATTATCCCACGCGAAAGTCAAGAATCTCGTAGAAGGCGTTTTAAGAGGCAAATTAATAAAGCTTCAACTTTTAGCAACGGCTACTTATTTCACATACTATCGCCTTAAAATGTACGTTTTTTCACCCAAAAAATTCAGAGGCTCTCAAGATCGCCGCCGATTCACGAATTGGATGCATTCCCAATTAATATCCATCATCTTGATCGATGCAGCGATAACTTTTATGGACGACACACTTTTCGAAAACCGCAAAACCCATTACAATATTATACAAGGTAATAATTCGCTTTCTTCGCAGCCTGTTTTTTCTCGTCGTAAAATATTGCGAGATCATCTGGGTGGTCCTATTATTTAGAGTAGTACGTATAATTGCATTTTCAGGAGGCAAATACAAGAGATAATTGAATACAAAAAGCTCAAAGTCATATCCACACAATATTCATAAAATGAACGACAATGGTAGATTTCGGGAGAAAAACAACTACTTTCCTGGCTAATGCCACGCAGAAGATTGAATTACATCCTCCCGAAATCTATGCATCGACTCGTATAAACTAGTGCCCACGAGAGTCTCGTTTTCGAGACAAGACTCGAGACGAGACTCGGACAAGACGAGGCGAGACTTTTATTGGTCTCGTCTCGAGTCTCGTGCAAGACTTCTCGTGTCTCGTACGAGAGTCTCGCAGGTAACTATTTCTGCGTGCAGATTGCAAGATTTGAGAATTTCATTCATAATACAACATATTTAGAAATAAGTCAGACTATTTAGCACATATAGACGAAATATTCCATTCATAAATACTTTGAAAACACAATCCATGATAACGACGTAACGCGTGAAACGAAAACGGACTATTCTCTCTCTAACGGTGGCGGAATATAAGGGCAATTCTGCAATAACGACAGATCGCAAATTGGATGACTACCTGAAAATCAATAAATAAGTCATTCTGTGCTAAATAGTCATGGAATAGTCTAATCTAAGATAAGGAATATCTATCGTGTAGGCTGATCTGAATGATGAAGGTTTTTTTCTTAGATACCTATTTCTTCAACAAGTTACGAAAGCGCTGAACGGACATGATACTTTTTTTCTTATAATTGTCAGTTTGATCTGGCAATTAGCTATAATTGCCAGTTTAAACTGGCAATTAGCCATAATTGCCAGTTAAAACTGGCATTTAGCCATAATTGCCAGTTTGATCTGGCAATTAGCCATAATTATGAAAGTCTCGTCTCGTTGGTCTCGTGTGAATCACTAGTATGAACGAATACTGATACAAGTGATTATTTCCTGAATGCCTATTGATTTCGATTTAGCCAGGCAACGCTAGACACCTATAGACCGGTTTCGAGCTCTTAGACTCTCATCAGTGCAGGGCAGTCTCCAGCCAGCAGTCTGAAGACCGCCGACTAAGCGTAGCTCCTGAAGATAATAATAATAATAATTTAATTTATTTGCAAATTGATATGTAGGTACATAATTAAGATCTCAATTCACTAATGATAATTATAATAATCTAATCTAATATCCACCTTCCCTATTAGTTACAATGCTCAACAAGTTGATCAGAATACAAATTTCAAGCAAATAAATTTGTGGGTTATCCACTAAAGGCCTAGCCTTGATATGTGGATTTATATCTCCATAAATGTATAGGTATAATTATAATTGAGGTTATAAGAGTAATCTCGCAGGCGCAACATTGTCCAATTCACATTAAAAAAAATCGAAGATTTGAAGATAATGAGAAGAGTGACACTATTACCTACCCTTGGAGTTGGCACTAATTCATCAATCATATTATATAATATAGACTCATAGGCATTTATACCATATGCATTATTACCTATAAGTTTCATATTTCTCTTTTTTAAATATAATCAACTTGATATAATGAACTAACTAACTAACTAACATATATAGCGAAACACGTGTCGAGGCGTTGAAAAATCGGTTTGGTTAGTGGTAAAACAGTGTAGTGTATGTAATTCAATGTCCTGCGTGGCATCGCGAGATCTTGCTGGAGCGATTGTTCCTAATTCCCTTGATTTTAAATTTTTGGTCGAATGACAATAAAATTTGAATACAATTTGAAATGTAGATATTTATAAATGAAGGGTCAGTGAAAATAAACCAGAGAACATCGTATCGAAAGACGAAATAATATCGAAAACAAAACATATGGGAAAAATATTGAACGGAAAAAATGTCGAACGAAAAAATATCGACTGACAAAACACCCATCCATATGGAAATATCTGGAAGATATCTTCACGAGAGAACAGAGTATGACAAAAATGAAAATGTTTCATGAAATGTCTGGTCAAAAAATATATCCTGAAGAAAGGGAAATTACGAAGGCGCTGAAGGGCCACCTATACTATTTGTTCTCGAATCCCGACTTTAATCTCGGGATCCCGACTTTGAAGATCTACAGGGTGATTATTACCCTCTACAAGGAATGAAATGACGAAATCCAGGCCTGGAAATGAAAGAACATGTTGATTGTTATTGGGCTAAAGCTTTGAAAATGTGCGTTTCACTTAAATTCGTGAAATTTATGCGCAGCGAAATAATTATTTTCGAATGAATAAATTTATCGTTTTTTGAAAAATTCTGTGAAAGTGTAAGGAGAATTTTGAATATTTCATTTTTGATGCTCGTTTGTGTGCTTTGAAAATTCCCTGTCACAGGTTAAAGAAATCATATACAGGATGAACTTTTTGATAAAAACTAAACTCTCAAAATTTCTCAAAAACGGTCCTGGATTTTCCCATTGCTGGAAATGTCAGTCGATTAGGGTTTAGTAGGGGAATATATCATGAAAAAATCAGATGGATCGAAGGAGCTGTTGAAAAGTTATGCCCAAAAGATGTTTTTGCCAAATCACATAATATACAGCGTGTTTCATAATTGAATGCTGATCCTAAAGGGCGATGATCCTTGGATGATTTTAAGGAGAGAAGTTCATATCAACATATGTCCTGAACCTCTCAGTTTTTGAGATACAGGGTGTTGAAATCAGAAGCGTACAGCGTTTTTTTAAACAAAACATTCAATATCAGGTCTACGAGTACATCACTGGTAAAAGTGAAAGTTTCGTCCCAAAACAAAATGTGTTTCCACTTATAGTGGGTGTCTACTGAATTACCAAAAACAATATCCAAGAACTGAAGGAACAAAATTCTTTGAATTTTATTTTTTTACGCGAAAACGGTACGTTGTATGAAAGTAAGTCTAGGAACCAAATTTGCTCCAAAATGAATAAGACCTGAAAAAAAAATCTGGTTCTCAGAAAAATCAGTGGCGTACTATTTTTTTCTTCAAAAATTGTCAGTTCAAACCCCGTTCGGACGCCACTGGTGAATATTTTTAAATATCTTTCACGTAAAAAATGCTCCTTGATAATGAAAAGGTGTATACGAAATATCATAACAATATCTAAGAGTGATAAAAAATTATGATGGAAACCTCTTTTTCTTTCTTGAAATTTCATCACCCTGTAGCTCAATAACTAAGAGGTTTAGGACATATGTTGATATGAACTTTTCTCTTTGAAATCATCCAAGGATTAACGCCCTCAAGGATCAGCATTCAATTATGAAACACCCTGTATAATAAGAGGGAAAGAAAACACTTTCTGATGGTCATTAGGTATTCCCCTGTACAGTTCACAGTTCCTCATGACTCACTCTGTATTAATGAAATGAGATCGCAAGAACAGTACCTATCGCCTCATAATCGGATTCCTTTTGCTCTATAGTCGATATTCTTCAACTCAATAAGTGACCAGACCATCAAACGCTCAGAGTGTGAAACAAAAAGGCAAAAACGCAGTTACATGAGGCTGGCATGTGAGGTAAGCGAATCCATAAAAAGATGGTAATGTTATGGACGAACCTTGACAAAGCGATAAATAAACCATAAGAATGAACTGCGTGAAGCAATGCATTATGTTCAGACTCTTCCCACACTACAATGCCTTTATTTACAAGAAAGTATACCGGCGAAATGTTTAGACCACGTGTTAATACCTCCAATACTTGTCTCCACCACTATTATTATAGTATGTATACAGTCCGCATTCCGCATAACCCTATTATTTTGGAACGTGTTAAACAATTGACTGAAAGTTCCTAGGAAACTATGAAAAGTAAACTTTGCAGTTACTAAACAACGATGATTCATCTTAAATTCAGTCCTATTTCATCATAGTTGCAGTGTGAATGTTATTCGAAAGTTATTTAGCAGAAATAAGTATATACGTTCATATATACAGGGACTTCCAACGAAAACTTGACCTATAACTAGAAAACCAAATACTCTACCAGAAATCGTCAGGAGCCGTCAATTTTTATACTTGGGTGAGCATTTTCTCATGTGTTCATCCCCCTAACCCCTAGCAACCCAAACTCTGAAATTTCAAATGAAACAACAATACATCATTTCAAAACATTTTTCATTGCGAATACTCTGGTATATTGTTTTTAGAAATCGGTTGGGATTTGACAAAATTATTGAACAAAATCAATACTGGACAATAATGGTGAAAATGACTTTCGCGTTATAATTTATCACCAAAATTACGCACTAATTAAAAGCTTTTCATCTCATACACAATTACATATTTACTTGTATTTTGAAGGGTATTGCTCTATGCATAACAATCAAAAAGTCACTACAGGCTTGAACCTTTCGAGAAGAAAAAACTGCAATTTGATTATGCAATGGGGGGTGGCGGAAATTTGATCGAAAGACAAATGATAGAAAAACATTTGATAGAAGTCTTTTGATCGAAAATCGAAAAATAGAAAGAACTTTTCATCGAAAATACATTTGATCGAATGTTTTATGATAGAAAATACATTTGAAAGAAACATAAATGAAAGGAAATACAATTGATAGAAAAAATATTCGATAGAAAATACACTTGATAGGAACAACATTTGATAGAAAGTTTAACGGGGCTACGCTCAAGTTAGGTCAGTTCGTTTGTGAAGATATGATCCTTCCTCATATATTTGAGAAGAAGGAGCTATAAGTTTGTGGTATCAATAAATTCATAAGCTTCGATTTCCATCTAGCTCCTCCTTCTCAAATATATGAAGAAGGATCATATCTTCACAAACGTACTGACCTAACTTGAGCGTAGCCCCGTTGAATTTTTTATCAAATGCTGTTTCTATCAAGTGTATTTTCTATCAAATATTTTCCCTATCAGGTGTATTTTTTATCATTATTGTTTCTATCAAATGTATTTTCTATCATAAAATATTCGATCAAATGCATTTCTATCAAAAACACTTTCGATCGAAAGACTTCTATCAAATGTTTTTCTATCATTTGTCTTTCGATCAAATTTCCGCCACCCATGCAATGAGAATATATGGGACAAACTTAGAATTCAACACATACATGATCAGACCAGGGTCCATAATTCTTGAAACCGAAAAAAATTATAGTAGAATGAAACCCATCGGAAAAGGAAGGGAATGGAAGGAAATTCAAATGGAGTTCGATCTGATGTCGGGAAGAGGATGTGGAAAAGCTTCAAACGGTGAATCTCGATTTCTGGCAGAACTACAAATCCTATAGAGTTAAACGAACCAACATAACTAAATAGTTTTTTCCTCCAACACATATTATTATAAATATAAAAGCAGGCTAATGTGATCCAGAAAACAGATCATTTCCTCGAAATCTGTATATTTTGACAGATGACAATAACATACACTTCCTCGTCACATGATTGAATATAGGGAATATTACTGTCGGAAGTCTGAAAAGGGATCAAACATGCAACAAACTGAAGATATCGGTGACGACACAGCCATAATTGATGGCCTACCCCTTGTCAAAAGTTGTTGACTCAACTTACTCAAACAGGTGGTTGGCCCTGTTTCATTTCAAACGATAGAAAATAGTGGTATGTTTTTTGAGTTTTGTGCAATTTGTTTTGTGCATTTTATAATGATAAAAGACGCGACGTGATACCAGGAATTGAATCCACACTCAGAATTGACACTTGAATGAAATTTGATGCAATCAATGTCATTTTTGGTTCTCGCATCAAATTCGGTCGAGAAATGTTTTATTTTTATTTTGTCAATTGTATTACCCACTCACCACCTGAATTACTTACTTACAGGTGGTAAAAGTACGTAAAAGATTGGAATGAGATGTTTCCCAAAAACATGATGAATTTATAGTTCAATGGCACACAACACAACAAGACTATCATAGCAAGATTTTTGTAAACAGGTTGTCTCAGGTTTAACTTCACTAACCACGACACTTGATAGAAAGAGTTAAAATATGTTTTTCAATTTGTCCTGAAGGAACTGGTTTTCAATACCTATATGGAATCCCTAACGTTAACTATTCTCTGAAAGTTGAAAGACTTTCATCCCTCAACAACAAATGTGACTTGAAGTGCAACTTGCGCAGGCGCAATTCTGTCAAAAGTCAGACCAATTCTTCCCTCTCATTTATTAGATCAGCCTAGCTGAAGTCCACTCATATTTGCCCAATTGATGTTAATTGAATTTCAACATGTATTTTTTTTAACATGTAATTTTTTTATGTCTCATCTGGGTGAATAAATAAATACAAATTATTCAAAATGTGTTTAGAATTTCGGAAAATTAAAGTTTACTATTCAAATAATCAAACTTCGATAACAATATCAACCAAAAATAACAAACCATGTTGGCAGATCTTCATGTCAATATAGAATATTCAAACTGGCTATATGTGTTCATCAATAGCATTTGTTTCAATGTGAAGATGAAAATTCAACACCTAGAATGAATTGCAATAACTCAGAAAATAACAAAGGCATTGAGACAAGTGGAAAGCAGAAATTGGAGTGAAGAAACGATTAAAGCTTTTCCTCAGCTATAATTCACCAAAGGCGTCCCAATTGAAATTTTCAAAGGGTTTCGTTCAGATTGGTTAGAAAATAACAGCTCGTGTGGTAAGGTCGCTCTTATCAATATTGAATATTGAATATTCATACAAGCAATAGAAACTTGCAACTTGCTCATCTATAGCTTTTGTTTCAACTGGGATAAACGTTCAACTCCAAGAATGTTAACTTCAACAGCCTGTTTATTGAAAATCATTATCATCATGATAAAACAAAATAATAGTTACATGATGGTTATTTTAATGTCAAAGTTGGACAAGTTGAAGCTGAGACAACCTAGATCAACCAATATAGATCTAATTCTGGAATATATCAAAAGTATAAATCATTCATGAAGATTGGATACCACATGAAAGTTTACACTTTTTATATTTGAAATTTGATTTCTAGTCACAAGACAATTCCATGAATTATTGTAGAACTGACTTGGTGGTCATAATTATTGTAAGAACTATAAGTAGGTGAGTAATGTTGAAAAAACTCAAATATCTCCTGCTTATGTATTTTTTCAAAGGTATCTGAATATCTACTGCTTCATTGATTATGATTTTGTTCAACTAAAAGTACTGAAACTGATGAATCTGATCGTTCGAAACGCTAATAGTTTATATATAAATATATAATATACATATATGGAACACTGACTTACCGAGCTAACACCACTAAATATAGCTATCAGCAGGACCAGGTACCTGCAACAAAAATATTTATTGGTTTTGGAAAATATTTGGATTCTAGAATTTGCCTGGAACTTGTGATATTCAATAATATTCAATAGCTGGGAAATAAAAATGTGCATTTTTCAAAACTGTTTGATTGCCCATAGTGTGTCTCATACAATACCCAATTTAATTACCACGCTTTCATCAGCTTAGTATGTACGTTTGTATGTTTGTATGATGACAATAGCATAATTTGATAGCTTCAATTACGATCTTCAGGATGCGCAATTTTTTTTTCTCAAATAAATTGGTGAATGATATTCCGTCCCAAAAATTTCGTAATGTTCCTTCACCAAAATTTCAAATGTTCGTTTATATTTCTCCGAATAAATTTAAAATGCTTTTCTTATATACAGAGACACGGCAGTGTCTTGCACCAAGTACTCCTATGCATAGTTACATCCAGAGAGACGGTTGATTTTCACCACTTCAAGACGTTGACTTTGATTAGAATTTCGCATACTCATCATATCAGTGTCTTTTATGAAAATAGTTACAACCAGAGAGACGGAATAGTGTCTTGTACCAACTCCTCGTATGACATAAAGTTTTCGAAAAGGCAGCCTCATGAATGGTTACAGTATCCAAACTAGGCAACAGGCGCGTAAATTATTCACTTTCACTGCGCGGCGGTAGTGACAATAAAATAGAAAAAACTTAGAAAACACGATTTTGTAGTCAGCCGAACTAAAAAATAGAAAATACAATTCCCAACACACTAAATGGACCACTCATGATTTGACTCTATTACGAAGACCTGTATTTAAAAAAAAAAATGTACCGATCCTGATGCGGTTTTCGATATCAGATGAGATGTTTCATCGTCTTCAAAGAAAGCTAGAACACTCTGAAAAAGTCCGCAGAACAAAACTTAGACAGGGTGTGAAGTGGAACCATTACACTATGATCTACATTTCCAATGCTGCCAGAACTCGAAACATTTTTTCTGATCAAAAGTCAGTCATATTATTATATACTGGGACCTCATCTCGGGACGTTTTCTGATTCTGATGAAATTTTTTGAAAAATACGATTCAGAAAGTCGAAATTTTGACATTTTAAATGAACATGAGTTTTCCAAGTCCAGCTCTGGAATTTTCCTTCTATAGTAGGCCATCGTGTGGTGTGTCAGTCAAGATAAATTGCTGATGAATAGCAGGCAATAACATCAAGACGTTCCTGAAATATCGTTCATTCAAGTTTCGCTCCGAATTCAAATAATGCCCTGTATTTCTGTTACGAATGAGCAGAATATATTTTTTCATATTCATATGAACTCACCTTGACTTTCTCTATCTACCATTAGGATATGGCTGGTTAGTCATGACTCACCCTGTATTTATCAAAGAAGTGTGAGAAAGTCTGCTTGTTGAAATGTATTCATTTCAGAAAAGCATAGTTGAGAAGATTTCCAAAGCAAACTAGGAATTTTAAAATTAAATTATTCGTATACAGGGTAGTCTGTTTAACCATATCTTGAAAATCATGCATTTTTTGGAAAAAAATAACACGGGCAAAGCTATTTTTTATGGCTGTCGGCTATCGGAAGTTATAATAAATAGGCCCCCTGTATGAGCGAAGATAATATCTGCAATAACCGTGTTACAATTATTTTATTTGAGAACGCAATAAAATACGAAACGAAATGTCATTTGTAATAAGATTACCAGCAGTGATTCTAAGAAAAGCAAAGGCTATAGCCGGAAACGAATATAAAATATCACTATAGTAGATCCACATGACATTCATCCGATATATTTACGGCCACAGACTTTTGTATACGAGGAATTTACTTTACTTAACCGAGAAAATAGACAAAAACGCTCTTTCATCACATTCGTGAGATAATGAAGGCCTATAACCTGCAACTTGATGCTTAACAGGAGCTTGTTAAACGAACTTGAGGTGAGATAGAATGAAGAACAAACAAACATCACTACTCTTTCGTAAATACCTTGTTCATCAAATCGAACTGATGCGGTTTCACGAAATTTATGAGGCATTCTACGCATTAGACGGATCAGTCCACCAAAAATACGACTCCCATTTAGAAGCATAAATACTGAAAATACTTTTGGATTTAATGCTCAACAGCTGAGTGATAGTGGCATAGTGACATGCATCACTTCTTCCTCCGAATCCATTAGTTTTTCTTCAAAAGACTAAAAGACAAGCAATTGTGTCAGTCCACACATGAGACGAGTAAAGTTTGTTGAATTCCTAGAAGAATCTCGACAATTATATTAAATTTTCTAAAAGAGCCCAACAGTCTACGGAATGATCCGAATTGCATCAGTCTAGCAGATGATCTCCTCTATATGTGCTCAATCACTGTGATAGAAAGATGAGATGATACATTCGAGGATACTAAAGATTCATCGATTAATTATACAAATAAATTCACAAATTGCTTAACATTATAGTTGCGGGAAGAAATAGCCTTCGAATGGCCGTTATATTCAGTCTAACCCACGACTATAATACGAGATTTCTGATGCTTCCAACTAGTCTTCAGTGTCTCTACATTGACTCGATTGAACAGTCTCAGGCTACTTCCTCTGTTTTTTCAAGTTCTGGTTTTCACGAAAAGGAATATTCAGTAATGTTCAGAGAACATCGTGAGTTCCAATGGAAATGCGACAGGAATTGGTGTTCTTCCCTTTACTGGAGATTATATTCCTCGGGGAACACCTCCCTTGGCAATGTGTCCCAGAGCCTCGCTGTTCGTTGGATGAACGAGTCTTTGGAAAGAGATGTTCTGCAGGTCTCCAAAGTGACCACGAAGGGGTGCGAAGCCTCAACTCGACGGGTTAATTTCGCGGGGACTGCCAAAGGAGGAACAATTGTGGATATTTCAGAAGAGCATCGTCCATGAAAATATATATGAAATAGAGCCAGATCGCCGACTTTTCTACGGTGTTCCAGAGAAATTAGTGAGTTTGTGAGCGAGCCATCACCCACGAGACGAATTGTCCTTTTTTGGACAGAATCCAACAATTTCAGGTTATGGTTGGGTGCTGCAATTCAATTATGGGAACAGTATTCCAGAACAGGTCGGATCTGTGCCTTTCTGGAGGTTATATGCCTCGGGGAACATCTTCCTTGGCAATGTGTTCCAGAGCCTCGCTGTTCGTTGGATGAACAAGTCTTTGGAGAGAGATGTTCTGTAGGTCTCCAAAGTGACCACGAAGGGGTACGAAGCCTCAACTCGACGGGTTAATCTCGCGGGGACTGCCAAGGGAGGAACAATTGTTTATATTTCAGAAGAGCATCGTCCATGAAAATGTCTATAAAATAGAGCCAGATCGCCAACTTTTCCACGGTGTTCCAGAAAAGTGAGTGAGTTTGTGAGCGAGGCATCACCCACGAGACGAATTGTCCTTTTTTGGACAGAATCCAACAGTTTGAGGGTATTTTTGGGTGCTGCACTCCAAATATGGGAACAGTTTTCCAGGACAGCTCGGATCTGTGCCTTATAGATCATAAGCAGCTGACTGGAAGTGAAATAGCTCCTGGCCCGAAACAGAAAACCAAGTTTTTGGGATGCACTTTTAGCAATTGATCTCACGTGATTTTCCCAAGAAAGGTTATTGCTGATAGTGACTTATACCAAGCATCGAAATGCGGTCTTCAAAGATATGGTTACTCCTAACAAGCTTATGTTGGGCACAGTGAGATCGGCTTTTCGAGAGAAAAGGCATACTCGTGTTTTGTTTGCATTGAAATCTACCAAGTTATTGGATCCCCATTCGAGAATTGTTGCCAAGACCATATTTATGTGTCAACATTTCTTCCTCGTTCGTTTCTGATTTGCCTGGCTGGTATTGGAGCCCTGGAAGAGGAGGCGGTATGGAGGGTACTATCATCCGCGAAGCTGTGTACTGGACATCAAGTTGCTTCCTGATGGATTCACATTAAAAATACATATTTTTTAACTAAAAATGTAAAGATGTAAAAAATTAATTGAATAGGAGTGTAGAAAAATTGATGAAAAAATGTGATCATCCAATGGGGACGTCAAACTTTTCGAGACTAGTTCTGGCGCACATGAGTTTATTTGCGAAAACTTTTTTGTTTTTTTGACATTCACCAGTGCTGAAATTCTCTCACACACCTTTCATGACACCCTGTGTATGTTAATCAAAATCACTGAGCTGTCCTCTATTATCTCTCAAATATCTCCTCAGACCCTAGATTTGACAATCTCCATTTTTGGAATACTTTCGTACATACGCGCATTCGCCATTACATCAAAAGTTCGTAATGGCAAGAACCAAGAAAGTACGAAGTTATATATCAGAGCAGAATTTGCACAGTCAAGGTTATTGAGACATGTTGTTTCTCATATTCAATACTCCTGAAATGCAGAAGCAATAAACATAAAATTATAAATTGACAATCTGCTATGACCGATTTCGAAACATCAAAGCGAATTCGCCAGAACTTTGAAAATAATTATTGTTGGAACAACTTAGGTATATTAAAAGAATGCATTCTCAATTATTTCTAGTTTTCATGTCGCTATATACAAGAAAAATCAAGAGCGAACTTAGGTATATTAAATGAATGAATTCTCAACTATTTCTATTTTTCATGACGCTATATACAAGAAGAACTAACTAACTAACTAACTAAACTAACTGCAAAAAACTATTAATTTAGTAATGCACCTCGTTCAGAAATTACAGAATATAGTTTTTTTCCAATGTCAAGATGATTTTGCTCGTTTCTTAGAACACATAATATATGGGTACCATTTCGAGACATTGTATCAGGAAAAATCAGATTATTCGAAATGTCTCACATTGAGTAAGCAGATATAAAATTTGAAATAGTTGTCAGTATAGATTTCCATGGATTGTTGATTAAAACACCATTTTGCCATCAGAAATGGCGTTATCATATTCAAAATTGATAATCTTGCTACAAAATGAAAAACTCAGGCAAAGAAATAGAGGAGAGTTACGACGGAGAATAATATCAGTTTACAGAGAGATACCACCAGAAGAACAGAGAGTTGAAAATAACGTGCGAAATTGATAGTAAAAGTGTACAGGGAATGAAGTTGTTACAAATGGTTGCTGTTTCAGTTCTTCTTCAAATTTTTCGATGTTAGTTTTTGATTGTTTCGATTTAGGTTTTTCTTCTTTTTATTTCTTGATGGAAAATTTTAATATCTAGTGATTTCATTGGTTGTTTATCTCACTCTGTAGGCAGATGATCTAATCCTGATTACCATCATGCCTGGTATCATTCAAATCCTCATAGGAATTATTATACAGGGTGACTTGAAAACTTCCATCATTAAAAAATTGCAGCGTCGATAAAAAACGGTATTAAAAATGGTATTAATTCCATCAAATTGACTTTTTGATATTTTTTTTGGCAAAATTAATGAAAATTTTTGAAAATTTGAGTATATCCACATTTTATTAGTGCATTTGTTCCTTTGATAGTTATTAAATAAGGTGCTCAAAGAAACAAGTGGATCACTGAAATTTTCGACAATTCTCAAACCGCCATATCTTTTTAGTAAATGAGTGGATTTTCAATCGGAATGCAGTGCTTGGAAGATGCGATCTTTCTGTTCAAGATTCCTCGTTCAAAACTCGTCGGGAGTTTTTCTGTCATTATACACCAAGTGTTCGAAAAGAGTATTACAAAAATGCTCCCGTATTTCAGGGAATTATTTTTATTTGTCAATTGATCATTTTTCCGAACGTTCAAGCCAATGTCTCGAAAGGGTTTTGTAATTTTCCATATTCCTCATACAGGATGTTGAAAATCGAGGATTTTTCATTATCAGGTTTTTATCGCATCATTTCCGATTTTAAAATCATGCAAGCCACATTCAACGTATTTTTCGGTCGAACGTCGAACCTTCGACGACTGTCATCATTGGTTCGACAGGAGGCATTATATTGCGTAAATAAGTGTTGATTACAAGAAATCGACTTTTTCGATTTATTTTCGATTATGCCATGAAAAACATTGTGATAAATAGGTTTCTTGATTTCATGTCAGCTCAGGAATATCTTGAGACCATTGTAGCATCTTTATTGTATGAATTGTTCAGAAAAATCCAGAAGGGCCTCCTTGCGCCCCCTTGGATTGAATTATCTGGAAAATTACGAAATCTATTCGAGATACTGAGCAGCGCAATCGATCCAAATGAAGGATTTGTATTTAGAATAGCATATGGTTAAACTTAGAACATTTCTCCAACAAAATTAATTCTTCTTCTGTTAAAGATGTCGATGATTTCAACGCAATATGAATCCATACAAATGACAGCATTTAATGGCATTCAAGACTCACTTTACTTCACACAAAGTACAACGAAGTAAAAAAGTTAGTTTTTTCTGTGACGGGAAAAAAGTTTGACATTTCATCTCTGTTGACAGGTTATAAAATGTCACTTTTCAAAAATTACTTTTTTCCCGTGGGAAAAAAGTGAGTACTTTTTTCCCGGATACTCATTAGTATGGTAGATATTTAATTCAGAATATTTCATAAAACAAAAGTTACATTTCCTTTATATCAAGAGTACAATTATTGAATGTGCATTGCATGAATGACACGTTCCTTGAAGTATTCGGAACAACAGTAGAATTTTCTCGTGTTGAAATTATATTTCTTTCTGCCATGGACACAATTGCCTGATGTACCTGGTTGCAAATGGGGTGTTATTTCGGCAATGCCACAAGTCCTGAATACTTTATTAGCTATTTCTGTTCTGTGTGATACTGATCCATCAACATATTATCCTTCAGTGACCGTTGATGACTTCCAACCGCCATGTTTCTTCAGTGTCAGCGAATCTCCCCCAGATTCAACTAAAAGTGTAGCAGACGATCTTCGAAATGAATGGCCTGTATATGAGGTAGCATTTTCAAGTTATACAAAACTAGCTACTGTTTCAGGTACCTTATAAAACTGATTTTTACCCACAACCTGATTGATACATTTTCCATTGCGATATGCATAAAACAGGCGGCGATCCTTTGCTGTTGCTGGACGCAGGGCTATGTATGTTCGGTAAAATTTGATATATTCTTCAATAACTACAAATCTTCTGTCCACATCATTCTTTGTTTGCTTGAGTTTCACAATGATTATCGTTCCTGAATCTTCAATATCATCTAATGTTACCTGGCTGATTTCACAAATTCGACAAGCTCCTGCAATCCCGAATACAACAACAACAACTTTGGCCATTAAATAAACTTCATCAGGAGCATTATTTAAAAATTCGCCAATTTGTGTACTCGTAAAAATCACTTGGATTGTAACATAATTTTAATCATTGAATAATTTGACCACACTGTTGATGGCTTTTGTTGCTGAGCCAGTTCAGAAAAATAGGCCAATACCACCGTTTCCGAGAAAGAACTGCTCGACTTTTTCATCCTCCATTCCATGAATCTTGAATACGCGGTTTCGTAAATTTTCCGCGATTTAGCTGCAATAATTTTTGTGACGCTTCGTTCGCTGCTTCAACTAACTCCGGTGGAGTAGGAGAAAACTCGAATTCAGACATTCAATAATATTATTCAACACAGAATTGAATTGACAGAATATGACAATAGAATGACATAGCAACAAATATGCCTACAATGGAGGTATAAGAAGTACAAATTTCACATTGATAATTTTCTGATTAAATGTAATATTTTTTCAATATTAGAGCGTCTTTCTTCCTGTCACAGAAAAAAATAGTGTATTATACACGGGAAAAATATTAGATTTTAGCACACGGTTTGTTGTCTCCCTCCGCTACGCGTCGGGAGACAACACAACCTGGTGCTAAAATCTACTACTTTTTTCCCTTGTATAATAAATAACTATTTTTTTTCAAAAATTATTTTTTAGGTGACTCACCCTAGTCTGCGGTCGATCATATCGACCGTCTACCCCTTCCGGGCCACACTCTCACTGTCTTAACGTATGCAACAAACGCGACCGCGCGCGTTACTGAGACATCGACACAAACTTCGTTTCAGACGCCGGACCAAAGCCCACTTCTACATTTTCAGCCTGATGCGCGCCGACCGCTCGGCCCCCTTCGAACCCCTTTTGCGCCCCAACCCCTGCACCCACGACCTTCAAATTCGGGCAGCTTCTAGTGCCAAGTGCCCCCTAGGTCCTCTGGAATTTTGGGGAGGCTGCGACTTCTCCCTGTGGAGATACGGAGGGTAATACGGGGCGGCTCATAGAGCGGGCCAAGAGACTTGAGGGCCCTGTGGTGGGGAGGATGGCGAGTGATTCTGCGGCTAAGAAACATGGATCTAGTAAGCCATGTCGCTGTGGCCTGGCCTGTGCCGGGCGATAGTCCTAGTTATTTTCGTCGTTTTTGCTTTAGTGCCTAAGGGAGAGACTAGGGTAAGTGCAATTATCCCCTTTCTTGTGTGCATGAATTGAGTTTGGTCCGTGGCGTACCTATACAGTCTGTCCAAGATAAGATTGCACAGCATGCGGATGTCGAATACGGTAGGAGATACGAAGTCGGTTAAATGGGGAAAAAGTTGCGCATTCGGAGGCTCATATCAACAGCCTTCGAAAATTTCCATAATTGTTTTTAGTTCTTGCATTATATCGAAAAATGTGAATTTTTGGAATATCCATTTTTTTTTCTCCGTTATTATTAGAGATACAGAAAAACTTAAAATACCTTTCCATAGCAACTTTTGATGACGTTTAACGTAGTGATACCGATTTTTTTATGCGACGTTACGTATTCGTAGAACCATCATCAACTTTTGTTTTTTAAATACGGTCTTGATAATATTTTCACAGATTCTGAGAGGTTGTTTTATTCTCAATTCAACCATGGTGGTTTGAATGTGTTTCGACCTATTTTTAGCCATCATTAATGTTTTTTCGAAATTCCAAAGGAAAAATGCCATCAGTTCCACTTATTTTGAAAGAAAATTAGTCAACACACTAATACCTCATCAACTGGTTCCGATCATCAACCCATTTCATATTGCGGAAAATAAAATTCCATCCATACAAATTCAGAATATGTCAAGCGCTAAAGTCAGGCGATGACAAAAGGCGCAAGACATTCACTGAGTGATATACCAGGAAATGTCAACATTTTGAAGATTTCCCTCGAGAAATCAACTGGACTGATGAAAGCCTGGTCATTAATAATGGTATCTTCAATAGAAAAAATACACATTATTGGTCACGAGAAAATGAACATTCATACAAAACAGCGAGACACCAATATGTGGGTTGCAATATTTGGTATACGAATTATTGGTCCTTTTAATAACATTGACTTCCGAAAGTTATAGAAAGTTGGTTGAGAATCATCTTGAGGAAGCTCTGGATATTTTACCGATTGCGGAAGTTCAGAACTGTTGGTTTCAACAAGATGACGCTCCGGCACATAATTCCAGAGAAGTTCGTGCTTTTTTATCCAGAAAAATGTATTGGTACTCATTCTACAGTCCTTTGGCCGGCGCGGTCGCCTGATTTGACACCGCTGGATTTTTTCTCTGGGGACATATCGAAAACTTTGTTTACGCAAATAACTTTGATGATGAAGAAGAACTAAGGGGACAGTGTCATCGAAGCATTCAATAGTATAACCCCAGAAATGCTGTTTAGAAAATAATGATTATCATTTTGAACATTTGTTATGAATGTTTTTGTTGGTACATATTGTCAAAGTTAAGTTATTATAGTAAGAATTCATTAACAATTTCAAGCGCTGCATTGAATAATTCAGTGAAATATTCTTCATTCACTTTACAGTATTGAATAACTAATTCATCAATGTTCGACACTAAATGAGCAGAAATAAGTGGAACTGATCACTTTTCCTCTGAGATTTCGAAAAAACATTGATGATGGATAAAAATAGGTCAGAACACATTCAGATCACCTTGTATAATACATGGTTGAATTCAGGATGAAGAAAGCTTTCAGAATCTGTGACAAAATTATGAGGACCGTATTTGAAACACAAAAGATGGTTCTACGAATACGAAACGTCGCATTAGAAAAATTGGTATCACCAAGTTGAACGTCATCAAAAGTTGCTTTCGAAAAGTTTTTTCAGTTTTTTTGTATCTCTCATAATAACGGAGAAAAAGAATGGAAATTCACTTTTTTCGATAAAACTGGAAAACTGGAAATAATTGTGAAAATTTTCGAAGACTATTGGTATGAGCCTTCAAATGCGCAACTTTTCCACCATTTGAACGACTTCGTATTTCCTACGCTTATCCCCATGCCGTGCAACCTTATCTTGGACATACTGTATATTCATTCATACAGTTTTGACGTTGCAGTATATTATGGAATGAAGAACGTGATGCTTATCGGGTTATATAAGGGGTTGATTTGAACATTCACCTGCTGTCGATCAGGGGATGAAACATTGTGCTCTGTTTAGAGGATGATTTCGAACCCCTTATATATGATAATGAAAAGTTTATGTGAGCAAATAGAATGTTATTTTGATTTAATTGATTAACATTCTTCAATAGATACCAACATATTCTACATTATAACAAACGGTATACATTTTGTCAGGTAGGTAAATGAATAAATTGGGTCCGATCAACTCATGTTGATCTCTATCACACGTGCGGTAGCTCAGTGTCCTAGCAATTTTGGGACACCCTGTATATTGTTCAGAGTGTAATTACGTCATCAATTATTGTTGATTCCGAAGCTATTCCAAATAAAAATTCCAGAGGTTTGAAAAATTTTCAGAAAAATTTAAGTATCTTATTGTACAATATTCAATAGTAAGTGATATGTTGTCGCGTGCATGATCAAAATGGCAAATTGAATCTTTTTGATCCTTTATAACCGCGGACCATTTTTGATGTTCTCACTTGGTAATTTAAAAAGCAAGTTTGATTGCAAACTTTGTTCACTTCTACCGTAACATGAGTTTGCATGTTACGGTAGAAGTGAACAAAAACTAAAACTGAATGAAATTTAACATAAACTCGTTTCTTAGAAATATAAAAATTATGATGCTATGAAACGTTTCAAGTTTGAAATGATAAAATATTGTTGCAAAAACAATCCACTGACTTGAAAGATTCATAAATATTCCTCATCTTCCACATCAGGACATCTCTGAGGCTATTATGGAGTAAGATATTCCTGTCTCGAACCCTGTCTCTATTTTTCTTTCAATTTTCATCGAGAAATCAGATAAAAATAATTCTTCTACGTAATTATAGTTGATAACAAGAATCAGGTAGGAATATAAGGTCCTTGACTGGTTTGTTTCAGAGATACATGTGTGTTGAAGTTGAAAAATAGAAATACCTCAGTATATTTTGGTACATAATTCCTTGTTCAAAAGTCACAATAAGTATTCGACGATTCAGTAACTTCGATCAGTCATCCAGTGACAAGCGGACTAGCCTCAGGATGTCTACGCCACTGATGAAATGAGATCCAGAACATAAAAAAAATCCGAATGTTCTCAACATACCTATTCAAATTTGTTACAGTTACGGCCAGTTCTAGAATACTGTTCCCATGTATGGGGTTCAGCTATACTATGCAGAAGAAAACAGATATTGATAATCTCAGTCAGATATATTCTTATTCATTATCTTTTGTTCATGATGATATTCAAAATGACTCTAACTTATGAGATATTCAACAACAATTTGATTTCATAATTCCATTTCTTCCTGTATATGAATTATATGACTTTTGTCACTGTCCTATCAATTTTATGTATAGATCATCTATATTTTTTATACTCATTATTATTCCAATTTATACCTTTTAACTCACATTGCCAGTAAGTTCTTGTTTTTGTTGAATCGAATTGTAACAAATTGTTTCATATACCACATATTGTTTCAGCCTTGAAGAAGAAAATGAAAATTTGTTAGTTTGCTTGTAGTCCGATTGACTGAACTCCCCGATATTTCCTATTTATGTCCAAAATATATGTATATACACAGATGAATGTCTATGCTAACACATAAAAATTGTTGAGAATAGATCAAATAATGAAGAATTGAATATTTACATACACATTTGTATGAATTGGTTGTTTACAGAGTATACAATTTTAATATAGGTATACCCATGTGGCTATAGTTACACAAGTGCTATAAATAGTCGGACATGATTTGACATAATCAATTGAATACGATATCGGTTCATTCTTCATGATTATAAACCACAGGAATTATACAACTTTGCCAATTTTACCTGAATGAAATATACATACCTACTATATGTCCGTCATAGTTGTCTTCTATTTTTATCAAAACATATTCGATAATCAAATATTTCAAATATTATTCGATCGTGATTTCGAAACCTTATTTATCTCAAAGAATTTTAGTCCACCCAAGAATGATCTCAATAAGACTAGTATCAGGTCAAAAAGTCAATGTGACATCATCCTCAATTTGAATGATATAATTTTACTTCAACCGAATCTGTCACAAAGATAAGCGAAATTGATAAATTCAAAACATTTCGCGATAACTTTTCTTATTGAAAATAATATAGTAATAACATTATAATGATAAATGGGACATAGTATATAACTGGATATCTAATGATATGAGAGGAAATAATTTCCTTTGGGTATAAGCTCTTAAAATGATCCGTATTTATGTCTTCATACACGTAACTGATCAATCGTATGAAGAAATTTGTGTTCTGTGTGAATATGTATATTATAAGTATTTGACAAACTTCAATAGGGTCCCTCGGGCTGTTCGTTTACATCATTTAGTACCATATTGACTGATTGATTGATTGATTAATAGCAGAATGATCAGTCAGGGTTCGAAGCTCAAAACACTGCAGCCTTCGGGCCTATTGTATTCTTGATCATGCTGTTGATTTAGGTGAACAGGTTCGCTACCTTGATAAGGTTTAGCAGCCTCTTCACCAAATCATTCTTTGGAAATGCCTCTTGAGAGTTTACTGCTCCCAGAAGGTTGTATCTCCAACGCGCCAGTGCTTCGCACTCCAATATTACATGGGTGGCAGTTTCCTCCTCCTCATTGCATAGTCTGCATATGGGTTCGTCTGTATAGATGCCCATTTGATGCATATGTTTCCTCAAGGGGCAGTGACCGGTTATTAGTCCCGTTACTTGTTTGATCTGACTTCTGTTTAGGCTCAGAATGTCGTTAGTCACTGTTTTGGACAGTGTTCCAACCATCAGTTTACTGTGTCTTCGTCCTGGGACATTGTTCCAGTATGCTTGATGTCTTTCTTGCATCCACCTTGCCAGCCAGCCGCGTATTGAGGTTTTGGGGATACCGAACACAGGTTCCGGTCTCAAAAACAACGCCGCAGACCCTTGCCTGGTAAGAGTGTCAGCTGCATCATTGCCTTCAATTCCCTTATGCCCTGGCACCCATTGA